TATCATCATTAACATCATAAATCACTCTCAGTTAAGAGTTAATTAGAAAAAAGATAATTTTAAATCAAAATCTATATGTATAAAATGTTAAATTTAATAATATTGCTTTTAATTTTTTTTTCTACTATTTTATTTTATTATTATATTTAATATCTTTAAAATTTAATATTTAAGATTAATTTTATTAACAAAAAAACATTTATATTATATATTTTATTATTAAATAGTTTTTTCTGTTAATATTATAATTTAGTATATTCTACTTACTTTTAATTATTAAAAATAATTATTAATAAAGCTAATATGATAAAGATGTACTTTATTACTCAATAAATAATAATTATTAATATTTTTAATATTTTTTTTATTTTTAAATATATGAAATTAAAAATTATGATATTTATTTAGTTATATTAGAATTAACTATAATATAATTTTAATTTATAAATATAAATTAATATATAAAATTATAGAATTTTATTCTAAAATAAAACAATTTTTAAATAAATATATAATAAAAAATAAGCTTAATATTTTTAATCATATAAAAATAGATAAAAATAATATAATTATAAAATAAAATAATATTTAAATTTAATATTTTTTAATTATATACTTTAATAAAAATTTTATTTTAATTTAAAAAATATTTTTTATAAAATTAATTAATAAAAGTTTTTTTTAAATTTTTTAAAATATTTTTATAAAAAATAGTTTATTAAAATATAATTAAAACTTTTAATTAAATTATAAAAATTTTTTATTTTATTAATAAAAATTATTATTTTAATTTTATTTTATATTTTATATATTGATTATTATTTTTATTACTTTATTTCTTAAAATATAATTTCTTAATTTCTTTTATATATATGATTAAAAAAATAAATTTTTAAATTATTTTTTTAAATTTTAATATTAATTCTTATTATTAATTATATTTTTTTTTAAAATATATATATATAAAATAGATACTGTTATAGTACATCTACTTGTAATATAAATTAAAATTAATCTGCTCTGCTTTGAAAGATTGATTTACTTCAATTTTCAATCATTTCTTTATATTTGATTGCTTACTCATTCTATATTTTAATCTCTAGTATTCTTATCGCAGTTACATAGTTAGATAGATGAATTGAAGTGTTTATTTTATTGTTATTTTGACTCTAGACTGAGCTATAATAAGTATTTAAAATAGATAAATTTCAATGTTTTCATCTTTTAACTTTATTGTTATAGCGTAGTCACTGGTAATATGAAATATGATTGATGCACTTCAATTCTTAACCATCTGCTTATATTTAGCTGCTCATTCATTCTTATATTCTAATTTTCAGTTTAGTATTCTTATCGCAACTGCTTAGTTAGATAGATGAATTGAAGCTTTTTTCTTTATATCATCATGACTTTAGTTTGCGATATTATCACGGCTTTAATCTAGGTACAGGTGAACGGGTGTTTGGTTGCCAACTAGGTAAGCTACATCAACGAAATACTAAGATGATTTCTAAAAGACGGGTCCAGGCAAGGCCTGCCTTATATAGCCCTTAGCGCCTTATTCTTATTTCCTTACCCCTGTCCTTAGCATCTTACCCCTGTCTTTAGCACTATTGCTATGCTGATGTTCAGATGGAGCCTGTTTTAGTCTGCTCTATCAGGTGGACTTTATGAGGTCAGTTAGTCTCTGGACAGATTCTGTTCTACACTATCATATTACCCCCCTTTTGAAGCTCAGGCGTGCCCTTATGTTAGTAGGTCATCATCTGCTTTATTTGCTAAATAGTTGTCCTTTTTTCAAGTCTCTATTCATTTATTCAGTTGCTTTGAAGGTCTTGCCTTTATTGGATTTGCTGTATAAAACTCTCAAACTAGATGCAGTGCATTCTTTAGATTTTTCACTGAATGCCATGTTGAATCATTGTTAAATTCTAATCACTTTACCTGATATTGAAGTTTTCTATAAGAGAAATGACTTTCTAGAATATTTTCAATCTTTTATTCATTTTCATTTTAAATCTTAACTGATTTTAAAGCTTTATTTAATTGTTCTGATAGAGTGTCATCTGCAGCTTTTTATAGCTTATCTGAAAAGAATATTAAGTAAATTCTCATGCTGTTTGATAGACTTAGTCTATAGCTATTGTCTACTTTCTCAATAATCTCAAAAAGACTTTTATTTTATTCTGCCAGCTTTCTGCTTAAGTGTTGAATTCTATAGTTCTTGAGTGATAGAAAGATTTTATTCTCTATCTCAAAATCTGACTTCTGACAGTATTTATTGACATTTAACTTCATGACTTCTTATATCTTTTTCACATTATCAGCTATTAGCTTTCAGATTTCTTTTATCTGAATGATATACTGTCTGATATCTTCTTATTTAAGCTTTTTCTCTTTATATAGTATCTTTGATAGTGACTTCCAGTCAAAGAACATTCTAGATTTATATCTGTAGACAGTTAAAAAAAAGGTCATTTTAGTAAATTTATTTTTCAAAGCTCTAGCTGCATAACTTATTATTAACAATCACTCATCTTAGTCATTCTGATAGTAATTTACATATAAATAAAGCTTAATTGTCAAATACTGATTTGCAATCTCAATCTGATCGTCTATCTGTATATGATGAGCTAATGAGAACTTTAGCTTAACTCTCAATTATCTGATAAATTCATCTCAGAAGTCTGAGATAAACTGTAGTTTTCAGTCTAATACAATTGAATATGGCACTTTGTAGTATCTGTAATAGCACATTAAGAAAAGCCTTACTAGCTCTCTGGCGTCAGCCTTTTTCATAATAGAGATGAATATAAACTTCTTACTCAGTTGATAGATAATTATCAATATCACATTATGACCTCTTTTTGTCATAGAGCTATCTATAAAATTCATTGATATATGCTATCAAACTCTGCCAGGAATTGATAGTTGTTAGGGAGTAAATGTGAGCTGCATAAGAAGGAAACTCTCTGCGTTCCTAACTGCTTTATAACAAAATACTAAGCTTGATGGGATGAAAGGGGGTGCTGGGGCCTGCCTGGATTATAACCACCTGCATGGTGGCGTGACCACGTGATGTGGATTAGGCCTAATCGGGCGCCGAGCTTAATCCGACATCGAGTCTAACCAGGCGCCGGGCCTCAGTCGGGCTCAGTCGGGCGCTGAGCCCAACAATAGTGACTTTAGCTTTAGTCATTTTAGTAGTATCTTATCTTCACTAGTGAGTGTAGCTTTCTCTTCTCAGAGTGTGCTGTTAAAGACTGCTTATGAATCTCTTTTAGAAGTTTCTTCTATTGAAAAATGATCAGCATTAACAGTTAACTTGCATTTCATTCAGAAGAGCTAGTTCTTAAACATCAAATTCTTCTCATTTGTAAGATGTTTAGAATTGTCCAGCTTGGCTAATTGTTGAGCTCTATGAGTGTTTATCAGTCTGATCTATAAGGCTAATGAGTTCACTGTTTGCTGCAATGTATTTCATTTCTCTATTAGTTTATTCACTTGACAGTCAAGTTTCTTTTCTTATCTTCTCTCATTATCTCATTCTGCTCTAATTCTATCTAGAGTCCCTCTTATGTTGTTTATAAGGCTAGCAATCTTTTGATATACTTGATCTATATTCTCTGCTAAGACCTCAACAAACTGTCTTTTTAACTTAGGCTTTTCTGACCTCATGTCTTTTCCAGCCAAGGTCAGCATGTCTCAGTCTGACCTTTATTGACTATTAGATCCTCTAACTGCTTCAGACATAGTGGTTTTTTCAGAGATTTAAAAGTAGATAAAAATTTCTCAAAGGTTTTGCATCTGAAAACCTGCTTTAAAAAGAACAAGAAAAGCAATTGATCTTAGTATTATATTATAACTTCAACTTAGATGCAGGTAAACAGATGTTTGATTGCTAACTAGATAAGCTATATCAATGAAATATTAAGATGATATCTAAAAAATGAGTCCAGGCAAGGCCTGTTTTATATAACTCTAAGTATATTATTCTTGTCTTCTTATCTCTGTTCTTAGCATCTTACCCTTGTCTTTAGCACCTTACCTTTATCTTTAGTGCTTTATCTCTTTCCTTAACACTGTTACTATACTGATGTTTGAACAGAGTCTGTTTTAGTCTAATTTATAAGATAGACTTTATGAGATCAGTTAGTCTCTGAATGAATTTCATTCTATATCATCATAGTTATGATATTAATATTTTATATTCTTTAACTTAATTTAAGATTTATTTGAATATTTTAAATCTTATATTTTTAAAATCTTTTTAATACTATTAAACTATTTGAAAATATTTAAATATCTTTAATATTTAACTTTTAATTAATAAACTTATTAAACTAATATAAAAAATTTTATATTTTACTTTAAAATTTTAAAAATATAATATATACTCAAAGTTTAATTTAAAATATATTGAAATTAAACTAACTTTTAAATATACTTCTTCAATTTCTAAATTATCAAAATATATTAATATTAAATTTATTTTTTAATATTTTATAATTTTTAAAAAGTTTAATAAAAGAAATATCTATTAATTAAAATTAATTTTTTTTTCAAAATGGAACTTTTTATAATTTATATCTTTTGTATTTAAACTTGATATCTTTAATCATTGTATATATTTTATAAAATTAAAAAGAGAAATTTTTTTTAAATTTTTAAAATATTTATTTAAATATTTTATTGATATATTTAATAAATATAAAATAAATACTTTTATTTAAATTAAATAATTTATATATATTTTTATAATTTTTATAATATAATTTATAATGATTTTATCAAAGTAAATAATTAATAATAAAATTAAAATCTCTATTTTTATAGCTCTAATAGAAAATGTTTTAAATACATCTAATAATCTTTCTAAAGCTTTATTTTAAAGTGATTGAAAATTTGATCATGTAAAGCTGATAGTGATAAACATTGTTTCTTTTGACCAGTAGTCATAATATAAAAAATTTAATTTTTTAATAGCTAAACGAAGTCTTTCTTCTTGATTAGAAGCTTAATTTTTTAATATAATGAGTAAATTAAATCATTTGATAGATATGAATATATATAAATAAGAAGAGGTTATAAAAAGATTAATCTGTATAAAGAGATGATTTAATATATTAATCAATTTGCTAATAATACATATCAAATGCATTATAATTCAAAAGTGAGATATATAATCATTGCATCAGCTTTGAGAACATATAATAAAAAAAAAATTATAAAAAATAGTTGATAATGAATTTCTATATTGTTTTGATAAGTTAATGAATTTTTTTTTTTAAATATTTTTGATGTTTTTTGATATTGTTCAAATATTTTTTTCATGCAAGATACTGTGGCGTTCCGCCCCTATTCTTTCGCCCCTTTCTATATTAGTATCCGCTCTCTATTCGCCCCTCCCTAATCCACTCAGAGGCCCCAATCTTTCCTATATTTCCTATCCTATGCAATCGCTCCTACCATATAGAGTGATTATAGTGTGTATATATATAGCAGGGCATTTGCCCATCTTATTAGAAGAGAATCAGACATGATTTATCCTACCTATTTGATTGCTTGTATGCATCAATACCCAGAAAGTTTTTGTTTTTCTGACTATGTAATCCACTAAGTTAGCTGTTGTATAAAAATCAGTGGCAATTGGTAATACAGCTGGATTTCGAAAAAAGTCATTAAGCTCGAAATAGGCTTCCGCAGGAATGGCAGTCCGTTGAGGTAACGGAAAAGTTCGCGAGTACCATATTTAGGCGAGCAAAGTTTGAGCCATGATCTGAGACCCACAACCAGTAGTTAGTTAGTGGTACGGTTATTAATGTGGGGACCAGACCCCAGACTTTCAAACTCAAATGACCTTAAGTTTGCAAACGACTAAATAGTTAACTAGGCTCTCGGAATATAATTTATGATTGAAGTAACAATCTGAGAAACATTCGAAGTTTAACAAAGCCATTATTCAACTAATTCTCCAGGGACATATGAATGGAAGAACGTTTGGATGTGGAATACCTCAATGACATCGCGAGTAGTGATCTATTGGATGGGAGTTTTCTCTTCCAAGTCTCCACCCAGGTTCTAACTAATCACTGCTGTCCGAAGCTTTTGCTAAGTCAGATAACTGCCAAGTCGATTGGTGCGAGGTAACGACCTTCCCCTCTCTCGGTCGCGGCCTGACCGAGTGTGCGTCTGGAACTTGGGACCTTGATGGAGGGAAATAGTGGTATGGGGAGGCAATCTGATGGGCTGGAAGGGAACCAGACCAACTTCTGAAATTTTCGATGCAGATGCTGGGATCTGACTGGACGAGAAATTATTGATGGGTTTGTTTGCTTGAGTTGACATGAACTTGGGGAAGAGTTGCGGGCAGAATTTAGGATGAGCCGGATAGGATGCAGGGAGAGTGGTCTCATTCGCTGGGAACGATGGGAGGCAGCCGGATCCATGGGACAGCTATAAATCAATCATGTTACCTGTCAATTGTCAATGGCCATTGTGCCTGTTGTTGAAGCTGTCCTTTGCCTTTGTTCATGGGTCCGGGGTTGTAAGTTGTTGGGCCGGATAAAAATTAAGCTGCGGAGGTTCCATCTACACCAAGTTAAAACCGAGAATATAGCAATTAACTAAATAACTACTGAGAAATGTGAGAGAGCGAGTATGCTGCTGGACTTCAACAGCGGGGTTTCTTTTCGTTACCTATCTTCTCTTTTTAGTTTTATACTTTCGAGAATAAGCAGAACCGTTCAATGACAATGTCGTAACTAATCCCAACCGGCTGAATCTTATATTCAGCCATACAAACTCAAACAGCCGTATCTTCGACCTCCGACCACTGTCCAACCTCGACAACAGGACTTCATACTCCCGTTCCTATGGGCACTACTCTATTATCCTTCTCCCAACTGTTTTGCACACGTGCAACCCCTTGGATATATCTCCTCCGCATCTCGGTGACATATCACCAATCATTTCTGCAAAACCTGCTGCACGACGTCGCTTCCCGTGTCTGTCTCCCTCTGCGGGCTCTGCCTGTCCTACTGAGAATCCCACAGCCGTGGTTCTGGTTCTACCCACCGTCAAGGAAATGCTAGGGATGATCTTCTGCGACCCACTACATTTACCTGCCGCTTCTCGCGAATCTCAGCGTTCCGCAGTTAGCTTTAACGCATTAGATTTGGCACAGCTGGTTATATGCCGATTGTCGTTTCACTGATCGATTCAACCGTTACTCTTGGAGAGAGAGGACAGAGAGATCCCGATCAATAGTGTTCCTGCTCCTGTTACCGTTGCTGTTTGCCGTTACTGTCCCTGCTACCTAGCAGCTGGTTTTGGATTGGGTTGATTGACTTGTTCCCACCATGGCGAATCATCCGCAGATCCAATGGGAGGAGGTGGGTCGGAGTTTTCCGCCACAGCAGCAACCACCACAACCGCTACAACAACATCTACATCCACAACTACAGGCTTTAGACCAGAGTACATTGTCTAGAACCTCTATCAATCCCGTCCAAGGTAGGCTTTTGTTGTTCCATAAAGTTATTTCAATTCCGTGGTAATTATTGTTAGTTCCCTGCTCTTCCGTCTTTGCTCCTTGATATTGCTTCAGCGAGGGGTTGTGTACTCACCCTCGGATGATGTTTCCAATTACTTGCTACCCCCTGCATGCTTTATAGAGGACATATCTGTTGCCAAGATATCTCTAGTTCCTGTCTATCCATTTCTCACCATGGCCAATTGGAGTGGTGTTGAATAATTGTTTGCCATCAACGCCACCTTGCAGGCTGCATGTGGGATAACCTCTCCCTGACATAAAACTTCCCTTATGGCCATTGTGAAACCTTGAGCTAGCTCCAGAAGATTCTGAAATGCTTATGGCAGTTATGCTAACGTCTATCCACCACATGTGCCTGCATGTTGGCGTGGAACAAAAATGAAACAAAAGGTTTAGAACCCTCAACCTCCAAAGGGCCTTCTACTTCCTCTATCGATCGTCCTTCCTTCACTTTCATCGACCACGATGATGACCTTGCCTCAAAACGGATCAAAGACGTACGGGCCCGTCGGGCCATCAGGTCCCATGTCATGCGTGATGTGCGCCGTCGTGAGAGACTGGCCGGGTTAAAGCGTACTTCTACACGAGGAGATAAAAGTGAGCACAAAAACGAGAGCAAAGAGATAAAGAAGAGGTCCTCGTCTTCCTCTTCGCCACTGCCGTCCACGAGCGCAACCACGACTACCAAGAACAGATGGAAGAGTAATGTTTCCAATGATGACCTGGAGATGACACAGGATAGTGCTCTCAACGAAGAACGCAGTTTGGATTCACGATCGTCTTCTGCGGAAATATTCTTAACTAGCAAGTCTCCGTCCGGTGTGGGATCATCAGCTACATCCATTACTCAGGATGGTGCACATTCACCGTTCCCGTCGAGTCCGGTAACTCAGGTGCCTGTATGGGCATTTGATCCCTTTGGCACATTGCCGGGTTCAACTCCGACGACATTCACCATCATCGATGGGTTGATAAAGTACTGTAAGCCTACAAGACTTACGTCCCCAATATCCCATCTATATACTCATTCGACATCTTAAAAACTAACTACTCAGTCTCATCTGTCCTCATCCCCATGACCTTCCCCGCCGAAACGAAGCAACCGGCAACCAGTAAAAATCGCATGGCCCGCATCATTACCGAAGCGATCTCAGATCCGGGTCCCTTTTTTGGATACATGAGTCTGTGCGCAGCGCATCGGGCAATTTTGCAGGGGAAACATTCACATCTCCTCCCCGTTCAGCCAGCGGGGAAGGATCGCATCCTCTACGAACCGGATTACTATGTCATGAAGGCTAAATGTATTAATGAAATGAATAAGAAGATGCTCGATCCGAAACTGGCACTGACGGATTCGGCATTTGATGTTGTTATTAGTTTGACGTCGAGTGCGGTGAGTTTTGCCCCCGTTTTTCCCTGTAGTTACTCAAGGGAAGAAGCTTTCCTATGGTTTCGAGCCTTGCGCTGATCGCTCGTCTGTAAATACCAACAGTTGACTATTGGAGACTTTGATGAAGCGCGAATACATATCCAAGGCCTCAAGAAAATGGTCGACGCGCGGGGTGGTGTTCGCGACTCATCGTTTCAAGGAGAAGGAGCCCGCATTCTCAGTAATATATTAACGTGAGCACTCATTTCATCCATCGTACAACTCATATTAAATAGCATCTGTATTTTACCCCGCCTCCATTTTGCATACTTAACATTTCCTAGGTGCGACGTCACCACCGCCTGCGGACTAATGACCCGCCCATTCTTCCCTCTAACATGGGACTCCCAACCAATCCCACCAGAGACTCTAGAACGCATGCTCCCACCTCCCTCCTCACCACTACACAACACCGCCATGCTCCTTTGCACATATACAGGTTTCTCCCCAGAACTGCGCAAAGCCCTTTTCAGCCTACGCAAACTCCTCTTCTTCGAATACGCCAACCATCTCGACCCAAATCACTTCACCGCCCTCGAACATGAAATCTTCCTATTCAAAAGCCATGAAACAGAATATGAGCTGCTGGATTACCCGTTCCGACTCGCACAGCTGCACGCACCAGCCCAATCCCAACTCACAACCACAAACCCAAACCCAAACCAGAAGTTCTCGAGACCGCACAATCCCCACCCCTTCGACTCCCACACCCTCACCTCCCTCGAAAACCTCACCCGCATCACTGCAATTTGCCACATAAGCCAATCCTTCGTGGTCTCGCCTCCCTCCTCCGGCATGGGCCGAGCTTTAACCCACCACCTCATCAACGCCATCTCCAAATTCCACCCATCAACCTTCACACGTCTGCACCCATCCCAGCTTGATTTGCTGGCTTGGGCTGCATTTGTGGGAGCGCGGTGTGCCAAGGACCAGCCCACGAAGTATTTGTTTTTGCCGATTTTGAAGGAGATTGGGAGGGTGAGGGGGTGGAGGGATTGGGGAGCAGTTGAAACGGGTTTGAGTGGATTTTTGTATATGAAGGCGTTGCATGGGGGGATTTTTGAGAGGATTTGGGAGGAGGCGGAGGAGGGGCCTGTTGTTGTGGAGGTTACGGAGGGAGAGTGGGAGGTGTAGGGAATCTGTTTTTGTTTTGGTTTTTGGGATAATGGGGAGGAAATTTGGGAGGAATTTTATCTGGATGTTTTTCCTGTTGGATTGTATTGGATTGTGTCGCATTTGGTCAGGTTGTTTTAATTGGGCTTGTATGGCGCTGGGAGGTTATAGTCTTTCACTTTCGGGGGAATTATTTTTCTTTTGGGATGGTGTTGTGGGAAGAGATTTATGAATGAATGGGCTGGGGTTAATTGGGATAAAGAGTGGAGATTGGCGTTGTAGTTGAGAGGAATTGTCTCTTTTCCTCCTTTCTTCTGTTCATTGTTGCTGATAATCTTAATGCTGCTGGTGTTGGAATATGCTTGAAGGAAGGGCATGAATCAACTATATGCTTTGTTTTGAGCAGAACCATAAATATTATTGTGTTTCCTCTCTTCTTTCTTAACGAGTACAATTGATGTTTTTTTAGGAATACGTCGGCCGTATGTGCACAATGCTCATTCCCAGGACCTGGTGCGAGATTTGCCACTGAGCTAAACAGATGAAAATCTCCCAGCAGAGTGTGGTGTAACTTTAAATCAAGGCCTATCTGGGCATGGCCAAGTCCACGCCCGTCCACCAACAATGATGCCTGTCAGACAAAGTCAAACGCAATTTGCAAATCAACCTTCAAGAAATGTAAATATCTTTGGGTTCGGCAAGTCTACCCTTCATTGCGGTGGATCAACCGTATAACCTTCTTCACATCCCATACAACAAAACCCACGGTCCCAGCCCACGCAGGAGAGAAAGTAGCATTTCCACACTTGCCGAGGCTTGTTGGTCTTGAAAGCAGAGATTGAAAGACGTTTGGAAGCTTCTAACTAGCAACGACTTGTTTTGCTAATGCCACCATAGGATCTGAAATCGAAAGCATACTGCAACAGAAGCGTGCAACAACCATCTGCGGTGTGCTATTCATATTTCGATTGAGAAGAAGGATCCCGGGATGGTCAAGCAAGAGGACAATGCATCGCAGCAGAGGTTGGACTGAAATTGTTGGTCTGATTTGGTATTGATTGAAAGAGGTGAAATTATGCGTCCAAAGAGGTTTGATACGCTGCAAAATAGATAGAGTGCGATTGGCTAATAAGATCGAGATCACGTGATGCAGCCTTGACGAAAAAGAGGCATTTCACTCTTTTTCATTGAAGGCAAAAATATAGTTGGGACATTTGACATATTTACATTCGATCTCATCTATAACTCCAATTTTTACAAATAGAATCAAACCCTTCTGCGAATACGTAGATCTCTCCTGGAAGGAAAATCACAAAAAATGGGCTGGTTCTGGGCATCCTCGCCCTCCCCTTCTAGCACCGACGAACACATTCCCGAGGGTGCGCTTCCGCCATTCGGGCGCGAAAACCTGCTGCTGGTAAGCAAGTGCCTCAATCCAAATGATTCAACCTTATGAGAGATTGGCTGACTTCTACTACGCATAGTCTACCTCCGGGTGCCCTGTTCCCTCTCTTCGCGCCAAAACCCAACAAGATACGGAACACCCTCCTTCATCCTGTCCCGTCCGCTCAAAGGACTCCCCCTTCTACGTTCTCGTTACCTCCTCTCAAGAAACCACTGCCACAACCACTGCCACAACAGCTCCACCTCCCTCATCGAAACCCCAATCCACTCTCTCCAAACTCAACCCCTTAAACTATATGTTCACCTCCCTCTCCCAATCCCGCGCCCCAAACCAAACGGTTGACCTCCCCGTCGAGCGGGAGATCTCTTCCATTCCACGTGCAGATGCCAGCAGCAACGGAAGAAGCAGTAAATGGGAATACCCCTCCCCCCAGCAGATGTACAACGCGCTCCTGCGCAAGGGATATTCAGACACGCCCCAGGATGCGGTAGAGGCAATGGTGGCTGTGCACAACTTCCTCAACGAGGGCGCGTGGGAGGAGATTGTGGGTTGGGAACGGACTTTTGCTGGTGGACTGATGAAGGGATGGCAGCGGTGTAAGCGGGGTGAGACGCATTTGTGGCATGAGATATATCGGGAGGAGATGGAGATGGAGAGGAGGAGAGAGAGTGGTGAAGATGGGAATGGGAGTGGAGCAGGTGGGTTGGAGATTCCTGAGCCGAGATTGGTGAGGTTTATGGGACGACCGCAGGATAGGACGCCGAAGGCATCCATTTTGCAGGCGCTTGGTTGGGTCTATCCGGCTAAGTTTGGGTGAGTGGTTGCTTCTTCCTGGCTCGTTTTACACATCCATGTAGTCTAACCTCTAACAATGGTTGAAGGACGGCCCCTCCCTTCGACCGCCATGACTGGTATGTGCTCCGCCAGACACCATCGGGACCCAAGGAGGTCCGCTACGTAATCGACTATTACTCCGGTCCACCAGGACCCGATGGAGAGCCGGTGTTCTATCTTGATATTCGTCCTGCAGTTGACACGCCTACAGCGGTTATTGAACGCATGATGAGATGGGGCGGAGACGTGTGGTGGAGAGCCAGTGGTGGAGCCTCGAGAGAGCCGAAGCAGTAGCCTCCTTGCATCCTCCCAACCCCCCTCCCCCCCCTCTGCTTCCTCTCCAACCAGATTCAGATGCTGTGAGATGACCAATCCGAAACTGAAGTTCACATTTTGTATGATTGTGCATGGATAAGCTTGCTGGTGGTCTTTATTTTGACCAATTGTATTTTATTAGCTTCCTCTTCTTTTCCATTTTTTTTTCTCTTACGGTTCGCGCCGTGTTCGTGGACATCTTTTTATTTGCATGGACCGGATTATTAGCAGGGATTGACGGACGCATGTATATGGGATGAAGAGGTGTTTTCGTCTGATTTTCATTTTCATTTGCTCTCCTTGGACATTGTTACTAGTATAAATAAGCCAATACTCAACTCCTTGCTTGCTTCCTCTGTTGCGGGGCTCTGAACCATATTTACTGACACAACGATTCCGTACAAGTGTCTCTCACCCTTCTTTTCCCGTCATAAATTCCAGCGAGTCTATCCTTGACAATATTCACTTGGGCCTTAATCTATTAAGCCTGCCTGAAAATCCTACATTCCCGTCTGTATTGAGAGTGACAATCATGTGACCGTGATCTATCTCCAGCGGGCCTTGGCCTTCGATCCCACCCAACCGCAGCTCGGATCAGTCCTCTGCCAACAACAGTTCCCTCAAGATTAAGCCGGATCTTTTCGTTGTGGGGAAGACACGTTCCCAGAGGGATTCTCTCAGCCTGTGCACATCTTACAACAGCAGAATAAGCTTTCAAAGGGTCTCTTCTGCCTTGTTGATGGCGTAATCCAGGCACTCGTGACCACCATGCCAGATTCCCCAAGTTTGTCTATTCTGGGCTGGATACTAGCCTGCTTCTGACTCTTTGATGTCACTGTGGCTTGTAGGCGTCTCGTTTACTACCAACTATGGGCCTTTTACCTCCTTTATTACAGTCAACCCTGCGAAGGTTGACGTTTCATTCCTTTTGTTTCTTTTGTTCTATGGAGTATGTTGGTGTGTCACCTGAGAAGTTTCTTATATATTTATTTTTGTGGCCTCGCTGTACCATGCACACCGCGCCGCATGGCTTGACCCCCCCCTCAACAGCGTCAAAAGAGGCCACTAGAGCCTGACTTAAGGACGGTTCCTTGCAGCTTTGCTGGATCCTGTTTCTCTTATTACGTCCTCTCTTCCTCGTCAAATTTGGCTCTCTGAATTCATTTTTCTCATCTTTTGAGTCTCACATTCGATCTCTACGAACCCTTCATTAAGTCATTAAGTGGGTAAACAAGTCCCCTGTAAGGTATCTCATGATCTCACTCTGCGCAAGATTTACCGCTTGGTTACCTGGCTACACCGCTCAATGAGTCCAGCTTCAACATCTTCAGTTTGCTATATCCCACCGCAGGCAGACGTCGTAGCCTCCACTGGTACTCCCAGAGCTTGCGACAACCCGCTACTCCTGTTATGGCGGGATATTCGTACGCTGGTATGGAGGCTCTACCTCCTACCAAAACTCTTCTATCCATTCTCCTCGAGATATCCCGACGATGAGCTCTCCCTACACTGGAAAAATAGCTTGTACCTGGGCCTCTTGGTATTTGTCACGCTCCTCGAGACCCTTCTATGCTTGGTTGCCTCGGTATCTGCTACACTATTACCTGGATGGCTAAGTACAGGAATTTTCGTGGCAATTCTGGGACTGGTTTGGGGTTTGGTAGCCCCGATTCAGGGTCCAATGATAGTCGAGTCGAGGATAGGGGTTAAGGAAGCGGAGCCATATCCTCATAATCATGAGAGGTGGATATTTGTCAATGGGGTGATGGGAGGGTATGAATTCCCTTTGTTATCTTTACCTTAACTTACATTCTACGGAGTTAAATCAAAATCAAATAGGAACCGTGGCCTTCAGAGTAACTGTGCTAGACTCTCGCAAATTTTTGGCCGTGTAATAACGGGTATCCACAACCCCACAGGCGGTCTCCTGTGGGATGTCATCGAGTGTATTTTTCAACGGTCCTTCTCTTACAACACATACAGCACGCGTTATGCATATGACCACCTCAAACGCTGCTTGACGGACGCCAGCGTGCACAAAGTGATACTAATCGGCCACTCACAGGGTGGCATAATCGTCTCCATGGTGCTAGATCTGCTATTCAACGATCTCCCGGTTGAAAACATGGCCAAGCTCGAAGTGTACACATTTGCCTGCGCTGCAAGCCATTTCAACAACCCACTGCGTGCGATTCGGCCTAATTCGCCCTCACAGCGGTCTGCGGTCATCCAGTACATTGAGCACTACGTCAATGAGGAGGATCTCGTTCCGCGATGGGGAGTCATGTATAATGTCCGCTGTTCCAGGACGCGATATTGTGGTAAAGTGTTCATTCGTAATGGGGCGACGGGCCATATGCTTAACCAGCATTATCTAAATAATATATTTCCCCTGGACAATCCAGATGGCGATCCTGGGACCAAGTGTTTTCTAGACCAGGAAGTTATGGTTGATGAATGTACTTGTCGGAAACGAGAGGTTCATTCGGCTACTGCTGCTGCTGCAATCACTTCGGATAACTCGATATGCCATGACTCATCTTCATCTTCGCAAAGTGATTCAGGTGTTGAGATTGTATCAGCGGGTAATGGGAATGGTATTTGTCCGGATGACCCCAGCAACGGCAAAAATGGAGCTGGTATGACTGTTCGAGAGCTCAGTCGTTTGTGGAGATATCTAGATGGTGCAGATCCGGATGCGCATGAGACGCCCATGATGAATTGAATTCATTCTGTTTTGCTGGAAGTTGTAACTACCTCTCTTTGTTCTTTTCCTTCAAATCGCACTTCTCAAATTTAATAGATGAAGGATATTTTTCTGTATATTTCTCGGTGAGATCTGGGTGGAAGGGTGGATATCTAATGCCGCGGATCGGATAGTTAGTTAACTAACTATAACTAGTTTAGATACCGGTTTACCTACTAGTTTCTCCCTCAAAAAGGAAAAGGGAGTTTCTTCCCCAAAGATCGCCCGCTGAAGACGAACACTTCCGTGCTCTCACTGGGGTGATTATACTTTATTTCCTTTTTGTTCAGGTCATTCATTTAATACGGATTATGATTCGCTCCCTGTGAACAGTTGTCGGTATTGAGGCTAATACAACAATAACAAACACGAATCAATCCTAATATCTCTTCCGACATCAAAAAGTATTCACAAGATCACCCAGAAACTAATAAAAGAGAGTCCACTCGATGTCGATTTCAAGGACAAATCGAAGTTTGAAATCATCACGCGACTTCATAAGCATTCTAATACGGGTTTCCAAACGGTCCCCGAAGGTTTATGTCAAATCATCTTCACCGTGAATATGGGGGAATCGATGCCGTGGGTAATTACAACATGGTGTCGATTTTGGTCGTGTTGCTCCTCTGGCATATGAGCCGTCACCTGCAACGGCAAATGCCTGTCCTGTCTCCGGGCTAGCAAAGCAGAAATCGTTGTCCCTTTCGGAGACCCTTTCTTTTCTCTCTTCTCTCTTTTATGGATACAATTGTGCCTTTGCAAAATTCTAGCTACAACGCCCGTCGATGCGAATCATCCTTCCCGTCAGGAAACGTTCATAAGCTAATTTCTCTGTATTCCTTCTTTCTCCCACACAGGTTTTATCCGCCATATGCCTAGAGTTATCTCATCGTAAGCACAAGTTCCTACCTATCAAAGAGAAATAGGTTCCCTGTCTACTTTACGAACCATTTACATCTCAGCTCGCTAAAATAATCTCTCATTTGAATGAAGTCCTCCCAACTTGCAATGCGCAAACCTTGAGGACCGTCGTCGAAAGTCCATGTACGCGGCAGTTTTCCTTTGGATAGTTACTTGCACGCCTCCTGAATAGGGTCAAATACCCGTTTGGGTTTCATTGGCCGGTTGATAACCTAGGATGGCTTCTTGTTTATGATCATTCCTCCACTTCCCCATATCTACGTACGTACCTCTCCGTGGTATTTTTTTTTTTTTTTGGTCGGATTTTCATGAGAGAGAAGATGTGTGTTCTACTCTTTGCGTTTGGCATGAATGCATATACATATACCTGTACGATAAAGCGTGTATCGTAGTATTTTTGGGTTCCCAGGCGGGCTGGACAGTTATGGGTGATGGTATATATATATATATATATATATATATATGGCTTCTTCTAAAATATGGCTTTTGTTTCGTGTCCACTGGGGCATTGTGTATTGTTGTCTTGCATTGTATCCTAAAATTTATGACATGGATTGCTATTTGGTGGTCGGTATGTATATTCTGGAGATTAACGGATAAATATATAGACCATATCGCAAAGACTCAAATAAATATGGATAAATATCTAAGACTATAACTCGACAGTCAAGCCTTTTACGCTCCCATGCTTGCGCTGTCTGGCCCCTGGCTTACTCAGCAAATGCCCGACTTATGACGTCTTTTGTCGTTCAACTTAACTTGAACTCGGCTTGTTCTTGGTTGCAACAAAAATTAATGCCCGGAGCACAACATCCATTGTATCTTCTAACATCCCATATACAGATATCCGACAGGATGAACTAATGACAACCTTGAAAACGAACCCCCTCGTGATAATATGAGAGCGGCCCTTTGGCTGGGCCGTTTCCCTCCCAATCCCGCTACTCTATCATGTTACAAGCAAACTGGTAGACCACCTACCAGCTCCTCCGCGATTTACCTGCACCGTCTGTTCTCCTTCTCTTCGAAACCCTACAATTCCAAATACACACCCGCTCTACGCCAAAGCTGCCGTCAGCACCATCCCGGAAAATCACAGCATTATCACAATTTCCAATGGCGGAGCCACCAAAACGTTTCAGGGTCCTGCCGCACTTTCGGCACCTACCGGGGAACCTCCACTCTCCTCCTAGCGGCCATCTTAACTCCTGCAGCCTTTCTCGAGCTTGCTGAGAATGGTGCAGATGACCCCTTCACGACTGCGGAGAGCGAGATGCTAGCGGCGTCGCGCGAAGAAACGCGAGCGCGGCGCAGGATACCCGATGATGTGGATGGGATGATCCGGCTCTGTCGGAGCATATATATATTCGTCGATCAGTATGTGGTGGAGCCCGTGGCTACTGCTCTGCGATTTTTCCATTTACTCGTCATATTTGTGCCGGTTCTTGTCACAGTACCCGTGATCTGGATCGGGCCAAGGGTCAGGAGTCGGGATGGGGAGAGAACTGGGACGCTTTGGTGGTATGGGTTTCTGGTTAGAGCTATGGAGAGGGGCGGAGCGGCGTTTATTAAGGTTGGCTTTGTCTTTGTCAAAAAGAACAATTTGAATAATGATAATGCACAGATTCGGAGCAGTAGGCTAACTGATTGTTTTATATGAATAGCTTGGTCAATGGGCGGCGTCGCGGTCGGATATATTTCCTCCAGAACTGTGCGTGCAGATGTCCTCGCTGCACTCCAACGCTCCCGCTCACTCATTAAATGCTACGAAACGGATTATAAGCAACGCGTTCAACATGCCGTTCGAAGATATCTTTGAAGAATTTGACGAGAAGCCTCTGGGTGTCGGAGCTATTGCACAAGTATACAAAGCAAAACTACGACCGGGTCTCGTTGTACATGACCAACTGGATGTGGAAGATAAGCCGTTGAATATAGCAGCGAAATTCAAGAAGAATGTGGATACATTGGTGAAAATCAGTCCGCGGCGGGTGCCTTCGTCGTACGTTGCGATCAAGGTGTTACATCCTCGTGTGCAAAGGATAGTGCGACGAGATCTGAAGATCATGGCTTTTTTTGCGCGAGTGATCAATGCCATCCCTTCGATGGAATGGTTTTCCTTTCCTGATGAGGTGAAGCAGTTTGGACACATGATGCGACTCCAGCTGGATTTACGGATTGAAGCTGCAAACCTCCAGCTCTTCCGTGAACGTTTTAAATCGCGGACGACCGCTTGGTTCCCCTATCCATACACTGAGTATACGACTAGAGAGGTATTAGTTGAGGAATTTGCTCAAGGGATCCCGCTGGCTGCTTTTCTTGAGAGCGGCGGAGGGGTTTATCAGCAGGGAATAGCCCGTGAGGGCCTCGACGCCTTCTTACACATGCTCCTAATCGACAACTTTGTCCACGCTGATCTGCATCCCGGCAATATCATGGTCCGTTTCTACAAGCCGGGGCAACTAGATCTCTCTTTCAAGACCTACCGCCCGAGCACACCAGCAAAGGAGAAACGCCAGGTCGATGTAACCGAGTCCGTCCTCAATCGCCTCCGACCATACCAGAAGGACCCAGAGAAATGGAATGCCGTTCTATCGGAAATCGAAAAGGAAGGCTACCGCCCGCAGCTTATTTTTCTCGACACCGGCCTCGTCACGCAACTCAACAGCCTCAACCGACGGAACTTCCTTGACCTGTTCCGTGCTGTGGCTGAGTTTGACGGGTACAGATCCGGACAACTGATGGTGGAGCGGTGCCGGCAGCCGGATGCCGTCATCGATCCAGAGATCTTCGCGCTAAAGATGCAGCATCTTGTTCTAGCGGTCAAGGGGCGGACATTTGCACTGGGAAATGTGAAAATCGGCGATGTGCTGAGCCAGGTGTTGTATTTGGTGCGGGCACACCATGTGCGGCTGGAAGGGGACTTCGTCAATGTGGTTGTTTCTATCCTATTGCTTGAGGGCATTGGGAGGAGTTTGGATCCCGAGCTGGATCTGTTTAAGAGGTAAGTTTATTGTTTCCCCCTACCTTTCTGGAGTTTCTTAATGGTTTTTTTTCCCCTATTTTATGTAAGTTAACTACTAACTTAAGAGTGAAAAAGCGCACTCCCTATCCTCCGCCAACTTGGATCTGGGACGACATTACTGAAGTCCGTGCGAGAAGGCGACACGTCAATGCTGAAGGTGTGGGTCGGGCTTGAGGCGCGGACATTCCTGCAGGCAAGTATTGAGAACGTGGAGATGTGTGTGAAGTACGATCTGCTGTCGCCGAATATATAAGAGGCATCAATCTAGGTATATCGTTCACGAAAGGGCCGGGTATGATAAATGGTTGGGGTAGGGCAGGGTTATTTAACATAGACAGGCCGCCGGCTTTATCTTCTTTTGCCCTTTCATTCTGATATTATAGTTGTTTCTGGCTCTCCAAATTTTGGCTTCCTACCTCCGTTCTCGGTTTAATTCCCGTGTATATAAATATCTACAATATGGATATATATGATACCATTTACGCAAACTTTACAGCCGGTGGAGGTATCTCGATTGGTGCTTATATCAACACCTGTTTTTTTCGACAAGGTGGAATAATATTTAGATGCTCCATTGGATCTCGGGAGTGGATCGGGCATTTCCATCATCAAACCAACCAGCCAGCCCGCTCAGACTATTTGGAGGGAAAATAAGAGCATAGAAAGGAAAAGCGGGTTGGGCTTGAACTGCTGGAGATCTTTAGCAGACCGTCAAATGATTCTGTTAACTAATGAGTTAACTTAACCATTCTTAATTTAATTTTGCGGGGCGGTTACGAAAAATATGTCATCGAACTGCAACTGATCACTCTGACTATTTCACCCTTCTTCGTCCATATCCTTGAGTTGTAATTTTTCTCGCTTCGTTGCCTCTGTTTTTCTTTTGCCAATTCCGTCTCTTTTCCCCTTCTCACTTCTTTGCAGTCGAGATATACAATCAACTCTGCGAGCTCATCACAGTAAACTTCAATGGTTTGCCACCATATCTCCGTAGCTCCTTATATCCTATTTTATCCGTCCTTCGATTCGTTTTGCTCTTCCCCAATTCCAACCAGGACCAATGCGCATGTTCCGCCCGGCGAACGCAGGAGGAGATGTTAACAACTTCGATTCCACGACATCTCCGCCAGCCTGGAGATGAGGGATACCGAACCCCCACGATCGAGGATGTGGAAGACTGTGCCGCCTCCGCTTTTCCGTTCCCAGACCAGTCCTTGCCAGTATCACCGCCGCAATCTGCTCCCCCTGCTACACCAATTCTTGATCGTATCCGTTCCCGGGCATCTCATCAAACCAACGGTGCAAACAACGGCCACAACAATTCCGCGACCGCTGGAGTGGAATCCAACGGGCTGAGGAAGGAAAATGGTTTCAATGACTCCACTGGCCATGTGAATAATTCTTCAGAGGATTGGCCGCTGACGCTGTCATGGAAGGAGAGGATGCGACATTTTACTTGGGCGTTTTTCACGCTGACGATGGCGACCGGGGGGGTTGCGAATGTGCTGTATTGGGGTATGTAATGATATGTCCATTTACATCTACTTTTTACCCCATCTCCTATACTCTGGTAATATTCTTCTTGATAGCCAAGCTAAAGGATCAAGTAGTTCCGTACCGTTTCCCTGGTCTCTATACAATTGGCGTTGTAGTAATGCTCTCCAACATCGTCCTGTACTGCTGCATATGGGGCCTGCTGATCTTCCGCTTTTATAGCTTCCCATACACATTCAAAGCATCATTCCTGCATCCGACAGAGTCCCTCTTTGTCCCAGCCTCAATCGTCTCATTCGGGACTATCCTCATCAACATCTCGCAATACGGCCTGATGAAATCCGGCGAGTGGCTGAATACAGCTACCTGTATCTTATTCTGGTTCAATGCCGCACTGGCCGTCATGTTCTCCGCCGGCATATATCTCATCCTGTATGTACGCCAAATACAACATGCTAACGGCATCCGTTCTTGACTCGCCATTCGGCAACGGCTGTGGTGCTGACCTGACCCAGATGGTCAACGCAGACCTTTACAATCGCTCAGATGACGCCCATATGGATTTTCCCCGCCTACCCCATGTTAATAGTCGGACCCCATGCCGGCATACTAAGCAGCGACTTATCCCAGAGACAAGCTCTGCGCATTATAGTTGGAGGCACGACTATCCAGGGCGTGGGCTTCCTTGTGTCTCTGACTGTGTATTCAGCATTTATATACAGATTGATGACGCAGAAGTTACCTAAAGAAAACTTGCGACCAGGCATGTTTGTCTCCGTCGGACCTAGCGCGTTTACAGTTGTAGGGATTATGGGTATGGCGAAGAATGCCGACCGGGCATTTCCGGCGGATTTCATGGGCGATGGCCCCTTCGCCGCCAAAGTTATTCGCACCGTAGCGAATTTTGCCGCGCTTTGGCTCTGGGGGTATGGTTTCGCATGTTATTATTTTCCCCTTAAGAAAAACGCCCTCCCCTCATTTCAAATAAGCTCTCTCGACAACATCTCTAACCACCTTCTCCAGCCTCGCCATATTTTTCTTCTTCATTGCTGCCTTCGGCCACTGGTCTGCCGTCAGCCGCGGTCACATGCTCTTCTCTATGACATGGTACTCATTCGTTTTCCCCAACACAGCGTTGGTGGCGGCCACCTTCGCCATCGGCAACGCGTTCGCGTCCCGGGAGATTGAGATCGTGGGATGCGCGATGATCATCTTACTACTGATGACGTACGTTTTTGTCACAGTTATGATGGTGCGGGCTGTTGTGTTGCGTCATATTTTATGGCCGAGGAAAGGTGAGGATAAAGATGAGGGCGGGTTTAAGATTATGGAGATACAGCCTGCGGTGCCATCGATTTTGGTTGGGTAAGTGTCCGTAACGTGCGCAAATTGGAGGTTGGCGGCCCTGGTTTTGGATTTTTCCCTTTTCCCTTCTTCTTCTTCTTCTTCTTCTTCTTCTTCTTTTTGAAATATATTTGACTTTAAGATACTCCATTCTGCTATTGATTGTTGATTATTGTATTCTCCTTTATCCTCTCTTACATTTTGGCTAATACGTGTTGAATATTCTGCTTGCATTTAGAGGCCCGGAACGTTAAGGATACAGTTATCGTTACGTGAGATTAAATTTAACATTGAGAATATAGGAGCATAAACGATATTTAGTCTCTGCCGAAAACCAAATGCTCACAGCACAGAAGTCGTGAAAATACCACCTGCCACAGGTGGATGAAGTCAATACACTCAGCCTCTAATATGAACCCTGGGAGCCAACCCCTACACAACTTTCCTCACCTTCCCCGTCTCAATCTCATACACCCACCCGGAAATTGGAATCCCAGGCGTAACCAGCACCTGCTCACTCAGCCACCTAACATCCTCTCTAACCGCTTCCTCAAGCAGTGGAAACGGCTGGAAATCCGGAATATCCCTCTTCAGCGCCTCGAGCACCCTACACCCGCCATCCGCAGCGCCAGTTCCATTCTGCCTGTGACTCTCCACCAATTTCTTCTCAACAAGAGCATGCGCCTGCTCGTTGGTGAAGGTCAGCATGCCACAGCCCGTGTGCTTGATGAGCAGGATCTCGCGGGTTCCTAGCAGCTGCTGCGAGATGACAATGGAGCGCAAGCCATCGCGGGCGCTGGCGCCGGCATTACGGATTACGTGGGCATCTCCAAGGGAGATGCCAAAGGCGGAGGAGGGGTCGATACGGGCATCCATACAGGTCACTGTTGAAGAGTTACTAGAGGGGCAATGGAGAGGGGGTATGGGTTAACATACGAACAAGATATTTCTCCACAGGGGGAATGGCAAGATGACTCTGATTGAAAGTGTTTGCATATCCGGCATTTCTGTCTTGGAGCTTTTGTTGGATTTGGGTTGCCATATTTCTCTGCTGCGGAGGATAGATTTCATTGATCGATATATCTTATATATTGGTGAGAATAGGAGAAGACGATCTGGACATAGAATTCAGGGTTAGTAGAGGACTTTCAACAACAGTTTCATAGTGAAAATTAATTATGGGATTCTAACCGGTGCTGTTATCAGAGCAACTAGTGTCTCGAAAGAGGGATTATTATAGTAACAGGATACTATCAAGTCAAAAACGCGGTTGTCTGGAATATAACATAAATCTTGGGACTTGAAAACTTTCAGGGGTGCGAGGCAGGTAATATATCTCTTCACTCCATATGGGAAATCCACAACTCACGATAAGGTTAAGCTTCCCTTCCTTCTTCCCCACATGGAGATGGTATGTGCGTTTTGGACGGATGCTTTCCAAACTGCTGGCTCATCCCAGGACGAATCGGCAGCCGTTGATGATGTTTAAGATATATATATATATATACGCCCCTCCCTAGTGCAGGTCATGTCCTTCCTCCCGTCCATCTTCGCCAGATAGAAATGTCAAGAGAGGGCATCACGTATTAAATTGTATCAATTAGCTCATTCCAAGCAAATGATATGGAAGGAAAATGACGCCACAGAATGTCATGCGGGACATCTCACAGGAGACTTTTCGATGAGGTGCCGTTCGCTTCGAGGAGGGGATAAGGTTGAACTTTTCCTTGTTCCTGTAACTATATATCATTGTGAAGCTGTTAGCAAGGATGAAAGTTAGTTACAGGGTATTTCGCTAAAAAATGTTTAATATGCCCCCCTGACAGTCGGATGAGGGGGGGGGGAAGTAGCCTGCGAATCTGACCACACCGTTGGAGTATAGCTGGCGTAGGTTATGAAGCTACAGACATCAAAGTTCCCTTCTGAAATAATTAAAAAAGCAGCCGGTAGCTTCGGCAATTCTATGAAAATACGACTGATGCAAACTTCAATCCCGACAAAGTCAAAAACAGTTGAATAAATGTTCCAAACCCCAACTTGTAACTACTTGATATGTGATAGTTAGTTATATGAAACACTTCATAGATATGCACTGAATAGAACTGCTCTGCTTGTAAGACAGAGTATCCCTCCTCTCAGCCAGTATCTTCACAATCAACTCAAAAAATCTGGGCTTGGTGGAGAACTCGCGTGCTGGTGATGGAAATGAAAGGCATTGATTGCTTTTTGAGGGTGTGTCCTTGAGAAGTTATTGGGTTGAAAGCGCTAATGAGGCTGGTAACTAGTTAACTAGCTAACTAACCAGAAAGCTTCACACCCGCCATTTATGATGATACACTGACAGGAAAGAGAGTCAACGCGGCCGAGGAAATTCAGATTCAGTTCACCTTCAGACTAGTCAGTGCCTAACCGGACTCTAAGCACTGAACTAATAATCCCATCGATGTCTTCATATGCTTCTTTAAAACCCCGACATAGGCAACCTGGTCAATATATAACTAATCAATGGAGCAGCTTTGTATAGTTACGGATCGCTCCAGCAGTGGCAATGAACTGTTGACAACCGTCTCTATAGACACCCGCGACGTCATCAATCAGCTGTCATGTTTGGTCCGGGCGACTCTCAACTCGCCAACCCAGTTAACTAAACCGGGGGGGGGGGGGGGGGGGTTTTTTTCCTCGGCACCTCCCTCGCAGTGCGATGCGCGGAAGATTCAGAATCAATATTTTTGAAGCGATAATAAAGAAAATAACCTTCAATGGCGTGATAGTCGCAAAATCTGTCCTAATCACAGGGTAGGAGGTCATGCAACCATAGCCCAGGGTTGACTTTACATATCCGATCTGGCTCATCGGGGTTCAATTCGCTGACGCTGCAATACACGTGTATAGAGCTGCTCGCCTAGAGGCATTGGATAGTTATTGGCTGGCGCGGGAGTTCCACCGCAATGGCCTGTGCTGCGCGTCTTCGCGACCGCAAGAGAGATAAAAGCTCTCCCTTCAGTCTAAAAGAACAACCGGGGATGGAAACACTCAGCTTGGTCGTGGATAAAGAGGAGAGTGTGAAAGGCATGTCGTGATGAAGTTGAGCTTTTGCTTAAGGGGAAGGGCCTTGATTGTTTTGGTTAACAATGCGTGAGGATTTCCCGATTGTGTTTCAGAGTCGAAAATTGCTATCATATGGTCAAATACGGAGTGCTAACTTAAACTCTAGTGGACTAAGTATGTCTAATTTTCCCCCGGATATATGTATGAAAGCATTTGAGAGAGGCCTTTATGTGGTGCTCTTGCACACGCTGCGCTTGAATTTTTGCGTCTGTATTAATTCTGGGTCAAACAGACTACACAGTCCCTGCCCTGGTATTCGAGACGAAAATCTTCTCCGTCATTGCAATGTGCCAGGCTTTTGCTCCGCTGCTTCTCAAAGCTCAAGGCACTATTTTTCAGCTGGCATCCATTGCAGGAGTAAGACATCCCGAAAGCTAGTTGATATGATCTGTTTCGAATCAATCTGCCAACCTATATTAGATAATACCATACGTTTTTGTGGATCTGTATACAATGCTTCGAAGGCCGTACTGCACTCCTTTTAGTGGCACTTTGAGAGTTGAACTTCGCCCCGTTCGGGTCCGCCAATCCCTTCGTTGGATTTTCATGACTCTTCTTCTCAGTTTCCCCCTTTCCTCTCAACCAATCGAAATTGAGACAAACCAGAAAGCAAGCAAGAAAGAAACTCTACAACTAATAACCGTCTATCTTTCCCCAAAACTACGGCGTTCAAGTGACAACCACAATTTCCGGCGGCGTGAAGTCCAATAACCCAGATCTTGTATGGTTCAATTCATAGGTGAAAATGAAGCAACGAATTCCAAAAAGCTTATACAGATCCATTATGACTCTTAACATACTACGACTGACCCCATCTATTGCGTTCTCTCTAGAGAAGCGTGGGAAATTAAACACATTCTAAACTTGGAATAAATCAAAAAATCAATCGGAAAAAGAGATCGACAGGTTTTTATGCAAGATACAAGTAACAGGGGAAAACAAATGAAATGACGCGACAACACAGACAATGCTATCAGATATAAGAATAATTAAGTGGTCCCGGGTTCCAAATCACACAGATAAAAAGAGTGGAAAAGGGGTAAATATCAATTATAACCCGCATGGCCTTCGCAAAATATTCAAATACCTGCAAATGAGTCGGAAAGAAAAAGAGTCTTATGAGAAAAAGCCTCCTGGTAGAACGCGCAAAGTCGCACGAGGCTTCGTCATAATCTCAGGCCCATGGTTTGTGGTTTCATACAAAAGTGCTAGACTCAATGCATGATTTCCCAGCAGCAAGTGTGGGTGAGCATTCAAATTAAATTCCAGGAAAATTTTCTCGGTACACATCTTTATATGGTTTTGGGGGAAGGTTTGGAGAAGATAGATGGGAGGTGAAATGTAATTGAACGAGTCGAGGCAGAAAAATAAAATGGAAAATCCACGCGACTGTTTTTAAATGCCAAGGGAAAATTCAACGCCCACGTCGATGTCACGGGCCATTTTGACAACTTTGGAGAACTGGACGGATTTTTCAGCGGCGTTTTGTAGGTCTTCGATAGAGAAGATTTTCAGGCCGGAGTCGTTGATCTATGGGCGACGGTTAGTTTTGTTTATATAACGTTTTCTCATGGTCGCTCTCGGAGTTTATTCAGGATGACCATACCAGCTTGTGGGCTTGTTCCATATTGGTCCCTTGCAATCGTGCGACGATCGGGGTGCGGAGGTTCATTTCGTTGACCACATTGATCAAACCTTGGGCGATGGCATCGCATCTGACGATACCACCAAAGATGTTGACGAAGATAGCAGTAACCTTGGGGTCGCTAGTGATGAGTTCGAAGGCGGATCGTATGGCCTGAGGGGTAGCACCGCCACCAACGTCGAGAAAGTTGGCGGGGCTGCCACCATTTAGCTTGATGATATCCATAGTTGCCATTGCAAGACCGGCTCCGTTGACTTTGCGTGCCATCAGCAATGATTCCTAGGTTGCAAATTTTGAAGGATGAATAGTGGACTTACCCAAACAGCCAATATCTCCATCAAGTTTAATGAAATTCAAGCCAGACCTACAACAAAAAATAGAGTTAACTGCTGACCAAGTGGAAGCAATATATGAGGAGGAATTTCAGAAAACGTACTCCGCAGCCTTGAGCTCATCCGGGTCCTCCTGAGTGGTATCTCTCCACGAGAACACCTCCTTTTGCCTAAATTCAGCATTGTCATCGAACCCAAACTTAGCATCCATAGCAAGAACTTGGTGGTCAGTAGTCTCACACAGAGGGTTGATTTCGATCTGTGTAGCATCCTTCTCCATGAAGACTTTGTAAAGTTTTTGGATCGTATCCTTAGCATCTTCAATGCATTGTTCTGAGAATCCTAGATCCCTGGCAATATTAGCTGCTATCTGATCAGTGACACCGACATTGATATCGATGTGAGTTGTGGTGATCGCATCGGGCGACTCCTTGGCGACGCCCTCGATATCGACACCGCCTTGCGAAGAAGAAACGATGACGGGTGCCTGAGATTTTCTGTCCATGAGAATAGCAAGGTAAAATTCTCTTCGTGCAAACTTGCGCTCGCAAATATAGACAGCATTGCAAAGTCGACCTTGGGCGCCTGTTTGTTTGGTGACAAGTCTGTGGCCAATCATCTGGGCAGCAAACATCTTGGCCTCGGTTGGTCTACATTTCGAGCTCAGAACTCAGTATATATATATATATATTTAAAAGAGAAAGAGAAAAAAAGAAAAGAAAAGAAAAGAAAAGAAAAAGAAAAAGAAAAAGAAAAAGAGGTTTATCAGTGTGAAGGAACTTACGAGTAAATAACGCGTACACCACCCTTAAGGCCATTATCAAATGTCCCTTTCCCTCGTCCTCCGGCGAGAACTTGGGCTTTAATTACCAAATCATCCACACCTAGATTATTTCAAAATATTTTAGCAAAACAGTGGCAATTAAGCTGATCATCGGGTATAAGTTATAACATACCGATCTGCTTGGCGACAGCCTCCGCTTCCTCTGCGGTTCGGGCAACTTCGCCCTTTGGAATGCCAACCCCATACTGTACCCACCCCCGAGTAAGTTTCATATCCACAGCGTCATTGGAGGAAGTACATACGGATTTGAGGAGGTTTGCGGAGAGATATTCATGGATAGAGAGGTTCCTCCTTTGCTGCTGGGCGAAGCGGCATCGAATTGGTGTTTCCTGTAAACGCGTTTGGATAGTATTAGCCTCGAATGTATAGGTTTTTGCTCCTGGTGGCATTACGTGCTAAACACAGGCCGTAGTCCCATTAAAGAGCAGTAGTAGCAATAAACGATCCACAACTTACTGAAGCAGCTCTGAAAGCCGCAGCGATTGGCGTGCTACGGACAAGCTTAAACATTGCGACAGTACAGCTGTACGAACAAGAGATGCGAGATGGTATGTATGATGGGCGACAAGATGCAGCGTGAGGATTATGCGGATGTTTGAAGGGAGAGTCTGGGGCTCTTTCTGGGGTAGTGAAGTGGTATTTACGGCTTCGGTTCTTGCCTTCAGGTTGTAATTTTGAGGTAATTTTGGGCATATGGTATGAATGATACGGCGCTATGTATTTTATGCCCAAGAGAATTTGACGCTTCAGCAGCGGGATTTCTGTTTTTCCTTCCCCGACCACAAAAATAGCGGGAGACAAGAACAAGGAAAGTGATAATAATGACGATATCGTATTCCTTGTTCTGCCATTCAGCTACGCAATATGGCTATCTAGAACACGTGCAGCAGGGCGGAGCGTCAGCAAACCGGTCAACCCCGGCCAACATTAACCAATTGGTTTTATTATGTTGTTTGCCATATATAGCAAAGATAGCGAGGCATGTCTGTGTCAAAAACAGAGGCGGATGTGATCTTCAACAGGGCGAACCTCGCTCTAGCACGGAGCCAACGTCTCATCGCATCATGGCTCCCTCCAAAAACGGCCGAAGAAATAGCCAACACAAAATCCGAAGAGGAACTCCAGCGGGAAGAGGATGAGATATTTACCCCAGTTCCAGAGAAGTATTTATTTTATTGTTCCTCTCCTTCTCTATCCGCTCTCTTAACCTTATTCCAAAAAGTATGTAGAGCTAATTTTATCCATCGACCAGACTAGGACTGGGCGCGTCCCTCCCAAAAAGCCAAGCGGACGGCAGCTTCAATCGCACAGAGCTCAGCTCTAACGAGAAACTGCGGAAACAGCTTCTGGGCAAGAACTACAAGAGACCTACTGCGTCGAAAAGCTCCCATCCTGCTGCAGCTGGGAAGAAATATCCCCAACATCCCGTGAAACCGCAACTTGAGAGCGACGATGACGAGGATGAAGGGCGCTCGTCTTTAGGCAGGAATAAACGGAAGCGGATGACCAAAATGATGGACGAGGTTGGGACGGGCGTGACAACCACTTCCGCAGTGAGTGGAAGTGTCAATGGCAAGGGCAAGGGCAAGGGCAAGAACACTGACGACGAGGAATTACCTGGTGAATTGCAGCGCAGCACGCAGAGAAGAAAGCCTGTCAGTTACCTTGATGAACTCTTATCCGAACGATCGAAGAAGAAAAAGAAAAGCAGTAGTTAAGAAAATGCGCGGTGGAGATTTCTTTTTGCCATCCTGGTCCCGACCTGTCGCAATGTGCATTTTTACTGTCGTCAACCTAGCGATATATGAATATTATCCAGCACATGTGAATGCACCATTGCTGTGTACTCTTCTCTGTATGGCTGTTACTTTGCCATTGAAGTCAGACGCAGAGTAGCCCCTTATCCATCTCTATCAAGGCCTCTGGGTGGGGGGATATTAGGTGTCCGGAGATTGGATCTTGGGATATGAAGTTCATTTCTGAAGAAGATGGACTTTTGAGAAGGCGGAAGAGCACGCGACACGTCTGTCCACAGGGACATATTCATAAAGCCAGAGCAGAGGAGAGCGTGCTCTCATCCAGAGAGGAGTTAGGGTCAAGTGAGTGTAAAGAGAAGGCAGCGACAGAAATTAATAAGATGACGCCCGGTCTAGTGGCCATCCCGAGAATGTTAACTCCCTGATCACAAAGGGTAATAATTCTTCGAATTCTAATAGTCTTGCTATTCTATTATATATGCTTGTAGGCCTGCTTTCAATACAGCTGCAGCAGCTCTTTCAGCTTGAATTTCTGGCTCCTTAACTTAATTCCTAGTTTTCAAAGCAAGCAGCTTCATCTGGAGCCTGCCTGATTTTCTCAATATTAGTAAATTTGCTATTGAGGTCAGACTGAATTCCTTTCCTGGTTTTTGAATTGCAGAAGATCTTTATTTAACTAAGAAGCTTGTAAATTGCAACCTTGTAAGCTGCTAGCTGAGCATTCAGGTTTTTATTAGTTTTATTAATCTTGTTTGAAAATCTCTCCTGAGTTCTATTTAATATTACATCAAATTTTAACTGGACTTTCAGGTAAATATATATTTTGAAAGTTCTAAAAAGTGATAAGTAGAAAATTTGTCACTTTATCATTAATAAAATTCATATATAAAACAATTGTAGACTGTTGATTTAAATATAAAAATTTTGCTATTAATATTGATAAAGTTTCAGAGCACTAAATGCTTTTTTTTAAATTTATTTTATATTTATAATTAATATAAAAATCTTTGAAATATAACTTCAAATAAGTTTAAATAAATTTTATAAAGTTAAAATATTTAACTAAGCTTAGTTATTATTAGTTAGTTATTTTATAATAAATATTAATAGAAAGATAGACATATCTAAATCCGATATTTCCTTAGCTTTAAACAAAGATTTAAATAGTTAAATATTATTGATAACTTGGTAATGTGGTTTTACAGCTTTATTTTATTTGGATCAAAGAAACATTCTTAGTTCTACCACAGCCCTTGCTAGCGAAATTCTAAGGTTCAGGAATCAGCCGACAACAAACTGATTAGTAACACTGATAATCTTAAAATTTTATTAAACTTAATCTTAATTATCTGTGTTTTTAACATAGATTGACTTTTTTCTGACTCAGCTAGTACACTACAGACTTCTTATATTATTTTATACTTATCTCATATATTTTTATATAAATATTATGCTGCGTTCATACCCTATTAGATAAATTGTAGAACTGTTGAATATACTTTTACTTAAGTTCTTTGATATTTTTAAATATTAATTCTTAGAAATTTTTATTATTCAATAGCAAATCTTTGCTGCTACTGATAAGTTATATCATATTTATTTCTATCTGTTAATCAGCTATTTAGAGCAATTCTCAAAAGGCTTTTTAACTGCAAACTTTAAAAGAAGAAATAGTGTTATTTTTTTTTTTTTAATTCTTCAATGATTTCTTGAATAGATATTTCACATTAAGAGCTCATTTTGAGAAGGTGGTAAAGATAATACATATTGAGTCGAAAAGTCAAGAATTTATACAAATAGTCATTAGAGAGAAGTGGGCATGAGATATGGTGTCATCTTATTGGTTCTTTGATTCACAGTTGAGAAAATTACCAACACTGAGTTGATTTTGATGAGTTTGATAAGTTCATGACTTATTCATTTGTTGTGGAAAATGAAGGCTTGAACTAAACTGACCTCTCTTCTGCTCTTCTAACTGGTCCGACCTAAAGTTTTGACCATTATGAAGTCAATACGTGATAACCGTTTCTTGAGTGCTGGCCACAGCTCCACTGATTTTGCTGCTGCTGTGCTCACCGCGTTGGGAGTGGATCTGATCCGACCTGACCTGTGCTGTCAAGCGAAGCCAGTTGAGCTATGTTGGCGCTGTTTTACAAAGACCATGAAGCTGGGCTGGGGCCGTTTGGAGAACCATTTGTAAAACAGAGGCGGAAGCATAACTAGGTCAACCTAAATAATTCCGATCCTACAAGACCTGGTTGACCTCATGTCCAAAATACCTTGAACCGACCAGAGTCCTGTACAGGAAGCGCGGTCGATTGAGCTGAACATCACTCAATAATAGTTTTATAACCAGGTCTGCTCGTCTCATAATACAGGTATCAAAACTGCTTCTTGCCGCAGTTTCAAACATCGCACATCCATCTCAAATGCGCTTTTCTTACGCGACAATATCTTCCTCCGTTAATACTCGCAGGAGTTATGGCGTCGCCGAAAGATCCCTTGCGGCATCTGTCAGCTATCACATCAACTTACCTCTACGTGATAAGAGACTTATCTTTTCTTGTGAGTTAGCCCTGTCCAGTTCATACTTCTTTTATCTTTAAATGAAACACAACGAAAAATTAAAAAATAAAAATAAAAATTAAGTGTTTGTTGTTAAAGAGCAGTCCAAATGCGCAACATCTATTCACCGGAGCGTGGAACAAACAGTTGCTCTGTAGTCTAGGCGGCGATGGAAGAAAGAGGTAGGATGGAAAAGAAACGGTGATCAGACCGAGTTTTGAGGATATGATACAAGGGAATATTGGGGAATTAAAGCGCGGTTGATTACTTTTATTGGTGGCACAACAACGGCTGAATGCTGGCATATCCTCCAGATGATCAACTCGAAATACGGGACATGTTCATGCAATCAATCATCTATCCGTCGCGGCCCGCTGCAACTCAAATGTTCCATATTCCCGCATTTGCAAACAGGAAATACGGGATCGTTCTCTGCAAGGGGAGGTATTCTCGAGTCCAAGGTTAGCGACATGCATACATTCGAGATGGCTGTGCAGTTGAGCTGAATTATCGCTCTCACCATTGCTCTCTCGATAACCCTTCCGATACCAATTGGACCTGGATAATTCATTAACTTCCTGCTCTCATCTCTCCCCCCATTCCCTCCTTTCTACCCTTCTCTACATCAGCTCTCCATCTCCTTCCCACCTCCTCCAAATCCCATTCCCTCTGCAGTCCCCCAAACCACACTAGCCGAAATCTCTTCACTCTCTCAAACACCACCTTCCAAACCTCATGCCCCCTTACATACTCTTCAAAAAATGGATAATGCGGGGGGTTGTCATATCCCGGCATGTAAAAGTAATGGTCAAAATTCGCAGTTACTTCATCGAAGACTTCCCGCATGTGATCATTGTTAACCTCCTCGTTTATCTCAGAGAATATATAACTGGTTACATCGAGGCAATTCAGGATGAAGAGGTTAACGTGAACGCTTGTTTTGCCCAGTTTGGTTTGGGATTTGGCTTTCGTCTCGTTTTTTCGTCCTTCCCCTTCCCCGGTCTTCACCCAGCTCCCCTCCTCCTCATCACTGATCTCATCCCCATCCTCATACGGTTCCTTTTTCCCCTTCATTCTCCCAAACCACCGCAACCTCCCCCGCCACCCATCCCCCTTCCCGTCTCCACCATCCTTCCCCTCTACCCCTTTAACCCCAAACCCAATTCCCCCCTCCAGAAACCTCCAAAGCAACACCAAACCCCCATCAAACGCATTAGCCCAGCTCCCACTCCTCCCTCCCCTCGAAATCCTCCTCTTCAAGCCCTCCACCTCATCCACCTCCGCACAGTCATTAACCGTGCAAACCGTCCCCGTCTTCCCCATCCTCATCCGCAAATTGACATCCAATACATCAATTGAGCGCTTAAGACGAGCTAGAAGCGCTGTGGATGCTGGCACGCTGATCCAGGTTGGGTAGAGGAGGTTGGGTGGTGTGTGGAGGCGGACGTCGGCGAGGAAAGCAATGGGGGTGCGTGTGGAGCTGAGGTGTGTGTGGAGGTCGTGGGTTAGGCGGTGGTTGGCGGTGAAGAGTAGGGGTGCTGTATGGGGTGTTGGTTGCTGAATGGGATAGCGGATTGTGGATTCATGGGGGACGTAATTGGACCCGAGAGAGGAGGAGGAGGAGGAGGTGGTGGTGGTGGTGGAGGATGTGGAGGAGGTAGTAGAGTTGGAAGTGACACAGGAAGGGGTATGGGGTGGCAATCTCGAGAATCGTTTTATGATCGAGGAAGAGCTCCGTTGGCTTTGTTCTACTGAAACGGAGAGGGGAGATGATTGCTTAGGCGGGATAGGAGTGCGATGGGGCGTGGCTGGAGGTGTTTGGGTGATGAAATGCCTATAGATTTCATCTCGTAGCTCACGGGGAAGCGTAAGAAGGTTTGGCATGATGTTGTTTGGCTTTGGCGAAAAACTTGAGAATGCCTCCAAAGTCTTTATTTCTGGATGGCTATATAATGTGTAATTGCTGCGAAGTATCTCAGGCAGGGTTGGTTTGCTGCATAGAGCTACAGAAGAGAGAAAGGAAGCGGGGTTGGAGGTTGCTATATGTGTTGACACAAACCAAGGCTTGACACTGACGAACGAACGCCCCACTGGCGGGGTGCCACAAATGAATACAAGCTAAAACATCTGCTCTTCTGGGGACCACACGAAAATATGACTTGTTTTCGTTCATGAATATATACGCACTAAGACGGCATATCTATATCTATCCATTACATGGTATAGGTACAACGGTTGCGTAGCTGCTCACCGAAGGGCGTGATATCCAACAAACGCCCTAAATAGCCAACCTAGATACTTGCTACCACGCCCCAAAATCCAATTGATTTCTTGAGAAAGACAGGGACCATGCAAAAGTCAGTAGCTGAGCATCGAGAACCATTTCTCATAAATTTAGAATCCCAATAGGAACTACATCTGTCATAAAGGGTCATGAAAATTCATCTGCTACTTCACACCCTTTTTTTTTAAAACTCGTTCTAAAGAGGGAAGAAAAAGAAGCCCACTTCACAGAACGAAGCAACATCAGTTCCAAGTAACCCCTATTCTTTGGTCATTAAATAACGTCCTCGTCGATCCTCCTGCCCCTTTCGAATCCGCGCACGCTCCACGGCACGCTCTGCAGCTCGCTCATCACGAAGCCTTCTATACGCCGGATCCTCATGGCTCAACGGCATATCCTCATCGAAGCACCAAAAATATATTCCGCCATTCTTATTCCGCGCGCCCAGAAACCTCTCATCAGCAATACACCGCCCGCTGGATGTTCTGTAACAATAGAAGCGCAATCTTATCTCTTGACCATTATGAAGGTCCCGTTCAATATCCATGATCTCAGGAACATGTTGAGTGCCTTCTTGAAAGTTAACGATTGTCGCGAGGCGCCCCCACCGAAAAAAATACACTAGGTCTGAATATACAGCAAGGGCGTCCGAAGGGTCAAAACTGGTGAATCTCAGCTGTGCACCTCTAACCATGTGGGCTAGCTGGGTATCAAAGGAGGTGGGTTGGGAGAACATGGGACTTGAATAGAATTTTGAACATTCCTGGCTTGTATCCCTATTTTCTTCCATCTTTTGAAAAGTAAGAATTGGTAAACCATATTTATCAACAAGCGGGTTCTCGGAAACTAATTTGAGGTGGTCGGGGAAAATAACTGTCGCTGTCATTTTATCCTGTTGCGCGGTAGGGGTGGTTCGCTGTAGAAGGTGTTGGGTTACAGTCATCCCGGAGTAGTGTATTGTTCCATCACTTAGAAAGTCACAAGGCACGCCATCAGCAGCTGCGCAGTGGAATGTTATTATGGACTTCGCCTTTGCATCGAGAAACACGTAAAAGGGTCGACTGCCAAGTTTGATCTCCTTGGCTTGCCTTGATTGCAAATCCCAGGTGATGAGGGTTGCCTGCGTGTCTGCGAACCATACGGCAACAGTGTCTGCATCAACCGTGTAATGCAACCGCATTGCGGATGGTAGGCGGAAAGAACCTTTCTCTCCTGTTTGAAAGTTCCAAACATGGCAATACCTGTTGAAGGGGTGTTAGAGGGAGCGTTTCAAGGTTGTGCAAGAGATTTTCCGTATCAAAGATAACGCGGTGAAGATATTTTTTTTAACACGTCTCACCCATTCTTGGTAATTGCAGCAATTGCAGAGTTAGAGATCTCGACATCACTTATTGATTCGCGGTTCTCCGTCTGAAAGGTCATGGTTTCACCTGTCTCAATGTATAGTAGCTGAATTTGGTTGGGAGAAAGGCCAGTTACGATCTTCCCGTCATGGTAGGCGATGAGCTCGTCTGGAAAATTCGGAGTGGAGGGGATAATTATTCTACGATATGGTCTCCCCGTCACCAGGGCCAGACGGCATTTTGCAGCCCGGCGGAATAGGAGAGGCCACTCTGGATTGCTTGTGTCCAGCTGCTGATCTGGGAAGCATGCATGGAAACAGCTGGAGCAGACAGATGAAGACGACCATAGATCGTTCCAGCGTTTTGATACCTGATTAGATGTGGTTAAAAAAATAAGAAAAGAACTAGCGGGTGAAAGAATAGGTAGAGAGATATACAGATCTACAGACGAAGACATCCCAAGGCGGGAGATATGAAGCTACTTGAGCCAGCAGCTCAATGGGCAGGCGAGACACTAGGTCGAAATGGAATCGGTCATGGAATAGGTCGATGACAAACGAGCACTCTTTGTGGCTCAGCCTGGGGACCAGAGCTCGAAAACTAGATGAGGAGGAAGTGGATAACACTAGTGATTAGTATTTTCAAGAGGAAGAGGAGTCGTATATGTGTAAACCTGTATGTAATATGCGATGCGATATACTTACAACTGCTGGCGGGCATCTGGAGTGGGGAGAGCTCTGAATGCGTGAATGAAGTTGGCAGCTAGGGTGGCCGGGTTCATTTGATCGATAACCAGATATATCGCCTTTTGGCAGCCCTTAACTGCGAGGGATGGTGGGTGTTTGAGGTGTCGTTGACAATGATGAAGTGCTGCTGGTGGCGAGGGTGGAGGATGATGGAAATATAAGTGTTGAAGATTTAGATTGCAGCCTGCAGGAGAACCATCCCATATCAGATCCGATCCACTGTTGAACAATGGTTAATTATGCGAATTAATAACCTTGGAACTTGACTTCTCCATCCCAGAAGTGTGGTTTTTCTGGATTATAGAACTAGATATGCATATCTGGGAGAATAGAGCACAGACAAAGAGTTTTCTTAACCATTTAGTTAAGCTAGTTACCGCAGCATGTTCTCTTTTCACCCTATTTAGTCACCTAACTAATCACTCGACACTCCGGAAACACATCCATATTGAGCAACTGGAATGCAATTCTTTAGCTGTAACTATTTTACTCTAGTTAAAATATACGTGGTTGATTTCCATGGGGGCCATTGTCAATGCTCAACTACCTGAATAATATCTATATCCCATGCTTCTCTAAACTGATTAGTTGCTATAACTAGCATTCCTTGATCTACCTCTCCTTTTTTTTTCGCTGTCTTTTAAATTTGCCGGTTCCCTCCATTCTTCCACGAATCTTCCAAAGGTTCTTTTCTTTTTCCGTTTTCTTTTCTCTTCTTCTCTTCCTTCTAACTTTTTTCTTTTTCGTTTCTTTTTTTCATCCTTATCTCTTCTTGAGTCGTCTGACGCTAGCTCTCTTTTTCTTTGCTTCCTCTTGCTTGCTCTTCGTCTCTCTTATTTTATTCGCCCAAGCCCTTTTCCCACCCCCCACCAACCACCACCACCACCATCTCGCATCGAAGCAGCTGTCCATTCTCCGCCATCTCCAGCTAGTTCGAAATTCTCCAATCCCAACTGAAGCCTGTGCTCAAATCTGGTCTCTTGGGCCTATCTCAGTCCCTCTTGACCTATCTTCTCCCTACGTTAACTACTACCACTATTACTTGCTGTTACTATTATTATTATTATCATTACTTTTATTGTTTTATTATTATTATTACTACTACTACTACTGCTGCTGCTATTATTATTACTACTACTACTATTATTATTTATTATTGTTATTGTTATTCTGCTGTCTCTCTCTCCTCTCTCTCTCTCTCTCTCTCTCTCTCTCTCTCTCTCTCTCTCTCTCTCTCTCTCTCTCTGTGTGTGTGTGTGTGTGTGTGTGTGTGTGTGTGTAAGGGACCGTAACTATCCGTAACATTTGCCCTGAATCCAAGTTTCTCTTCTCTCTCCCTCCCTCTCTAACTCTTGAGATATAAGATATATATTTCCCACCCCCGTCCTCCACGCTCCACTCATTCTAATATCATTGTCACCATCAAACCAACATCTACATATTTTTGCTGATTGATGCAATGATGCCAGACCTGACTATATACTCCACCCGTTCCCATTACCACTTCTACAACTATTACTGCGATCTCTGTGACCTCTGCAACCTCTGCCGCCTCTACTGATTCCGTTCGCTCTCGTCCACTCTACCTCCAGTCCTGTTACTACCTCCCTCCCTTCCCCAACCCCGGTAGTTTGCTGCTGGGCGCATCCAACGACCCGGTTCTTTGCAGCTGATTCCGAACATCTACATGCACCACGTTTGCTTTCTGCTCCTGGGGCTACACCATCTATTATCCCTCTTCTCGACCTCAAGTTTGATGCCTTCGCTTGCGCTAATATCGAATTTTCTCACCCGACTTATCCTGAGCTTTTCCCCTGTCTGATTTTTAGCGATCAAACTACATTGTGACCATCTGTAGCTTCGTCTTCTTACACATATACATGCATGCATTCATTCATTTGTACATCTGAAGTATTCTTTCCAGACAATCAGGCGATCTAGCTCAGTCCAACATCCATCCCTCGTATCTTCTCCTCTCGTCTTCCCACCTCCCACTTCTCTTCGCCTTGACAGACAGACCCTCCTTGTTTCGCACTAGCTCTATCTTACCACCACCACCACCCATTCCGTTAACGGTAACTATTGTTTACGAATCGACTTTCGCCATGAATCGAATACAAGAACCTCCTTCGCGAAGCCCTTTCTCTGGCCCAACAGATGTCTCCAACAAGTCCAGAACAATCCCCGTCCTCTCCTCGTCAATTTCTCCATCGGATCACCCACAGGGTGACCCCATGGACCTCAGTCCCTCCTCGCCGGCCACAATGGCTCCTCCTGGTAATAATAATGGCGACAGCCCTGAAACAGAGCATGCGGGAGGCGCCAGCAACAACAATACCAACAGCAATACCAACAGCAATACCATCAATCATAGTACAAACGGCGCTGCTCCTGCATCTACAATGATCGGAGGAGACTCCGGCCACGCGCTGAATCAACCCATCGGGGCTGCTGCAGCTGCGCAACAGCCAAAGGTGGTTCAAACTGCCTTTATACATAAACTATACAGGTTGGTTGAACATACTTGCACACTTCAAAATTTGAAAGAAAAATGAAATAGAGGGGAAAATAAAAGTGAAATAATAAAATTAATAATAATAAAAAAAAAAAAAAAAACAAATCCTCTTTTAAGGCAACCTTTTTGGTCTAATGCGATTGTGAACCCTCTAGTATGCTCCAAGATCCCGGAATCCAACACTTGATTTCGTGGTCCAGCACAAATGAAAGCTTCGTAATGTCCCCGTCTCAGGATTTTGCAAAGGTTTTGGCGTATGTGTCCCTGCGTGACGTTTCCCATCGTGCTGTTGGTTCGTGAAGAGACATGTCGCTAAGAATTTTCTCTGATCCCGTACCAGTCAATATTTCAAACATACAAATGTCTCCTCCTTCGTTAGGCAGTTGAACATGTATGGATTCCATAAAGGTACCCGAAACATATTTGTACCCTCCTAAGTTAAATCGATTGGCCATTGTGACTGACTCCCGATGCCCTTCGAAAAATGTTATAGTCAGCGATGTCTTTCACACTGGGTCTCCTGACTCTCAGATGTGGGAGTTCAAACATGGCAACGGTAATTTTAAGAAAGGCGACGTGGCCGGCCTTCGGGAAATCAGACGACGCGCCTCTAGGCAAACCCTGATCCATCGCGATTCCTTTTCTGGACATAAACCAAATGCCTCCCAACCTGGAACTCCCGCTGAACCAACTCCAGATAGTTCCGATTCCAGGGTGATCGATTCTAGACTCCTTAATACCGAACACAACATCTTCGAACTCTATTCTCGCCTATCCCGTGTGGAGGAAAACTATTCAATGTTAGCCTCGAGGTGTCAAGCTTTAACTGAGAGCTTAGTTCGATGCCACCAAGTGAGCGGAACCCCGTCGCATCTGCCTATCGTGCTTTTGATAACAGAAGACCCCGTTTGCTGACTTTCGACCTATAGTGGTCCAATTCCATGTCACATTTCGTCATGTCCCTTGTCCCCGATCCCGAGAATGCTATTCACAGAGATGGTACGTCAACGAGCCTTCTCGCCTATTCTCCCCTCGATCAAGTCCGAAACTAACATGTATATGACTGGGTAATAGCTGCCAACATGCAACGGGAGGTCTCACGACAACTGGACGCCATACGTTCCCTGGAAAATCCCCATGAATCCCTTTTATCTGGACGACAACCATACTTTGGCAGCATGACCCTCCATTCTGGCCCACCCCTCTCTCCGCGCCAGATGCCACAAGACGACAACCGGCGTTCTTCTATGGCCCAGCCTCCAGTCCCCGTCCACCTCTCCGTCTCTCCACGTCGATACGGCTCAATTGGTGCCGCAAACACATCCCCAGATTACAACCGCTCACACATACCCACACATTATTCAGCAACGACAGCAACGCACCAACTCCACCCGCTCTCCGCCGTAAGCTCAGCCCCAGGCACCAATCTAGGCCGCCGTCACACCTCCGCCGACATCCGCGAACACTGGGCAAGTACCACCACAAACAACACCTACCCCTTTGGCTCGATCAACCCCAACCATCCCTCCTCATCCTCCCAATGGCCCCCATCTCCACAGCGCACCGGTCCACCCAACAACCCCGTCCACAACCCCATGAGCATGAGCATGAGCATGAACATGAATATGAACCCAGTTCCCAACGCTGGTGACCACCAACACGTCCGCGATGTCCTCGCGAAGTACGAAATGGGCGGGCCAAGACGCCAAGCCTCCTCACGTCATCCCACCCCTCCACTGCCACCAATAGCAATCGATCCCGTTGCCGCAAACACCAACACCAACAACAATAACAATAACAACACCGCTACCACCACCCCCCCACACGCCCCTCCACACGCCTCTTCCTCCTCCTCGTCGACATTAAACCCAGAAAGCGGCTGGTCGATTGGGGGACCGAAATTCCCACGCCCAACTGACTCGTCGTTACCTGCCACGCGCCGATCGAGTATGGCTAGCAATGTGCATTCGTTGCTTAATCCGACGGCGACGGCAGAGAGGCCCGATGAGGACGATGGAGCGGGGGAAGATCGGAAGAGAAAACGGTTACAATGAAACTAGAAGATTATTCTTCTGTGACGCGGCTGACTTGAATTTTTAACATGGGCTTTCTTCAATCCTTTCTGACAAGACTCTTGTCATGTATGAATCCCTTTCAAGTCACGGAACCTCCTTTCGACTCATTTTCATTATACCTAATCTGCCGCTAATTTCACTACAATTTTATCACCATCATCAGTATTAATACGTTTTGGTTTTTTTTTTTTTTTTAATACTTCCCCCTTATTTCCCGATGCGGCCCGTTCCTTTGAAGTTTTTGTGATACTCCATGCGCACGTCTATGACATATCCCATCGGTTGGCTATCTCCAGTTCAGTTCATTCGACTCCATTTCCCGAATCTCTTGGTATTTTTATCTATTTTTATTTTATTTTTTATTTTATCTTTTTTTAATTTTTTCCCCCGGTTGCCTCCTTGCATTTCTACACTGCATTAATCAATTTCCTTCGAGGAGGGAAACTCAGAACACAGAACATTCTAAGAGCAAAACAGAAAGAAACTAAAAAATAATCACGTTCACCAACACACCACCAGAGGCATCCATACCCGAACTTCCTGAGAAACGCGAGCGCTCACGCACACACCTTTGAGAGCTCAATACCCACAACTAACTGTTATGTTTCTTGCGCAAATCCACTTTTGATGATATCTATATCTATATACCTTTCTACGTGTGCCATACCATACATCATATGGGAATCTGAGCGGAACGTCGTGCTGTATCGCGTCGATGCATCGATCGATCAATGACCAATAACTGCTCATTGAAAATATTCATACCACACCACACCGCATCAAAAACCAGTATCAATGCCAGCTCCAGCGTCAGCAGCAATATCAACCCTTCTCCCTTTCTCTCTCCCTCTCTCCCCCCTTCTCTCCCTCTCTCTCTCTCCCTCTCCCTCTCCCTCTCTCCCCCTCCCTCTCTCCACCGCTCTCCCCCTCTCTCCACCGCTCTCTCTCGCTCCCCCCTCCTCCATGTTAATGTATATCACACCCGTTTCCACACCTGTGTCTATCAGCAATTGTTATCATGTCATCAACAGCACATGCCTGGAGGAACGGAATGTTCGATGTCATATTTAAAAACCCACGGATATTTCATATATTATACGTTTTTGTCTTTGGGCGAATTCCCCGATCTCTGGCTTGCTGGTGTGTGGTGTGGATTTATCTATCTCTTATCCTCATTTCCTGTCTGTCTCCAGTCATATGTATATCTTTTTTGTATACCACTCATTGATTTGGCTCTTAAGACTTGATGGAAGCAGGAATAACATGATACAAATACAAATACAAATACAGCTACAGTTACCCTTGCCATATTTGGGTATACATAGCTATTCCCTTGCTGAGAATTCGAAGAAAATGGTCTCCCTTTTTTATTTTCGCCTGAACTCTGTTGATTTTTGTATCTATCTGGCATTGGTAAAGGGGCATTAAATTGCGTGGGTGGAGCGTTTGGCTGTTCTAAAGAAGTAAATGAATAATAATATTCCAAGTTCTAGCTCACGTACCGAGTTGACATCTCTTCCGCATGTGTTATTCTCATAGTTATGCTGAATAATGAATACGTTCACACGCCGCTCACTCCTTCATCCTTTGATTTTCCATTGCCGGTGTAAAAAGGAAATATCCCACTTATTAGAGAATGCAACGTCGTTTTTGGTTCTTGGTTGCCCCTGTTGCTTACGATGGTCTGTTGTTTGATGCTGCGTATTGGATTGATCTGATTTGACCTGGCCCGGCCTGGTCTGGCCTGACCCGACCTGCGCTCGCAGTGTGAACCAGTTGAGCCCAACACTGGGCGGACCCCCCTCCCCTCTCCCCCTCCCCAACGTATTGGAACCTTTTATCCTTATTTAGCAGCGCTCCTCGCTTCTCTGGTAAAAAGGTCCAAGCTCAGCCGAACCTCGATGGCTGAAGCTCTGACCAGTTCGGCTAAACAGTTCGGCTAAACGGGAGCGCGTTACCAGGTTAAAACTGCACCGGCAAGACTTGACGGATTTTACGACGCGGTTCTAGATGGTTGGCCAGAAGCTCTTCCACTGGCCCCTCGCTCTTTTAGCTGACCTGATCTGAGCTTCTTGTCGTCGTGATGTCGAAGGATGTTACACGCCAAAAGGGGACATCGGGAGAAAGATTGAACGAAGAATTAACCATCATCTAGTTAAATAGTTTGGTTAGTTAGCGATCTCTTAAACCACGCCTGTTAAAATTCCGTATCGCCAGGGCGGTCAAACGATGGAGTTGGCTATGTAGAAATTAACTTCGGACAATTGCAGCTCTTTCAGATACGCGCTCATTCTCCCTTGACTAGCTTTGGTTTCACAATAACTATCTAGTTAGCTAACTGCCAACTAACTAATGGCGGGCAGCGGTAAGCTCCGTCCGGGAAGATATAAAAAAAAGAAAAGCCTATTTTCCGCGAGATTGGACGGGGGGCTAGACGCAAAAATGGTAAAGAATTCCGGGATTCGACGCATGTTCAATCTTAGCTAGAAAAAAAAAAAAGAAAAAAAAAAAAAAAAAAAAAAAACATATCTGTTGGGTCCCCTAACAATTAGTTAACTAGTTACATGTTCACCATCACTGCTACACCCTTCTACCTTTTCTCCATTCTACCCTTCATCCTCTGTTCAAATTTCAATATCTTCCTTGTGAAACCTCCGCCTTCCGCACCACCCCTCACAGACGCCGGAGTTAGTGTAATTTTAATCTCGAAAAACAAACCAAAATTTCTTTTTCTATCCCTGTAAGTGACTAGTTGAATTGACAACATCCCGTCTCACACAAAATACTTGGAGAGAGAGAGAGAGAGAGAGAAAAGGAATGAGTGAAGAGAAAAGAGATGGGAGTCTTTCTATTCCCGTTTTCTTCATTCTCCCCGTGGCTGTGAAAATGCATCCTATAGATTCCAATACTTTGCGCTTTATTAAGAGGTCCGGGAGAACAGGTCTATATATACCGAGTAGAGGCCCAGAATAATACCATCCTAGGCGCAAGGACAATTTGATCGCGCGGTTCTTTAATATTTCCTTTTTCCCTCTTCCCACGAAGCGAAGATCGACTGCCGCACGTCTTGAATCGGACGACGCCAATATGGTGGAGAAGGTCTATGTTACTTATAATCAGGTATGTTAACTGGGAATAGTATGCAGGAGGGGAGGAGAGAGAGACACGGAGGGAATTTGAGTGCACGTCGGAGATATGAACCCAAGGGGGACGACCGACATGAATATCAGGAGAAGCCCTGCGGATTTCTGCGAGTTGTTAAAAATACGAAAACCCTGAGATTCTATGTGGAAAGCTGCATTGATGATAAGAGGGGGGCCGCGGGGGGCCGCGGGGGGGGGGAGTGGGGGAGGGAAGAAGCAGAAGAGGTTGAAGGCAGACCAAGCCCGTATACGCAGTGGATGGAGACTTTTTTAAATAAATTAACAGCGATCCTTTCATACCACAGGTGCACAAGCTGTGTCAAGCTTCAGCAGACCGCATCCTCAATGACTTCAAACCAAATCTTATGATTGCCATCGGAGGCGGAGGATATATTCCAGCCAGAATGTTGAGGTACTGAACTGAATTTCCTAAGTATTTCCTCCCCTCTGCGCCGCAGGGATAAGGAAGGGTTGGAGTGTTGATGTTCCAATCCAACCACTATCACCGCCAAAATATCAATACCAATGTTATAACCTATATACCCAATTGTACTATTCTAACATCCCCAACTGCGTGCCCCCCTTTTTGCGTCCTCCATCCAAACAGATCATTCCTCAAACAACCCGACGGCGCCAACATTCCCATCCAAGCCATCGGCCTGTCGCTATACGAGAACCTAGGCAGAGACGATGATCCCGTCGAGCAACTGGGCACCAAAGTCACACGGACACAATGGCTTGATCTCAGCTCGCTGGAGATGGCTAATCTGATCGGGAAGAACGTGTTGATTGTTGATGAGGTGGATGATACACGGACGACGTTGGAATATGCTGTGCGTGAGCTGCAGAAGGATGTACAGGTGGCGCAACAGCAGCTGGGTAGGGAGGGGGAGAAGACTACGTTTTCTGTGTTTGTGTTGCATGTGAGTTTTGCTTCGTTTTCTTCTGCTCTTTTCCTGTGGAGGGCAGCCCGCCGACTGCCCTGTTTTCTTTAAATAGGAGGAAATGGATTTATTTGTTTCTTATTGAACAAGGAACGCCATTGTTCCGTCGGCGTTCTCCCATAGTTCATGAGTGTCATACTAACCAATAAACCCTTTCCATCCCGCAGAACAAAGACAAACTTAAGAAAGGAAAACTCCCTGCCGATATGCTGGAGAGCGGGCGATATCTGGCCGCTGTCACCACCGGTGACGTCTGGATCTGCTACCCCTGGGAAGCCAAGTGCGTTCTACCTCTTCCTCGATCTCCTTTTCCATATATCGTTATTCGGCCCTTGCCCCCCTCATTTCCCCTTCTCGTGCCCGCATTTCATTCCGCCCGCCCGCCTTACCCGGCCTTGGTATTGGTGCCCCTTTGTTTCCCCCCTCCCCCCATCTATGCCCAATGGTTCCACACGCATTTTTCCCGCAATCACGGCACCTGCATTTGTTGCACTCTGTACAACTTGCTTTCGAGCCTTAGCGCGGCATATCGGTTTCCATCACCATCCCTCCGTCACCCGGATCCGGGGGCCCCGAGCTTTGAGCCCCTGGACCCGTGCTGCTTTTTGATGTGTCCTTGCATGGATGAGTTCGTTGATTGGATTCGTCCATGGGTTCTGCCGTGTTCTAGTTTTACTAACAGTTTCAACACAGGGACATTGATCAGCATGATCAACTCGCGGCTGAGCACCCGTTGACTTGAAGGTTTCTTAAATGCCTTTGTTTCCTCTGGAAGTAATAGGAGAATAAAATTCTGTTAACTAGGTCTTATTTCGTCCTTTTCTCTTCCTCCCTCCTTCTTCCCCCCCCCCCCCCTTTATGATAACTTTTTATTTTTTATTTTTTATTTTTTATTTTTTGGTAGATTCCCACGGAAGGAAATGGAGAATGGGTGGAATTGACATCTTGACTTCGTAACGATAATGATATTTATATTCAATAAATACCCTCTTAACTCTTCATTTCACATTGATTTTGTTGGGAATGATGCATATTTGAGAGGTCTTATAACTCGGCAGCCACTTCAGGTCTCTCATTCAACCCTCAACAATGATACTTTCAGAAAGAGGGATGAGAGCGAATTTAATGAAGAAGATGTTGCTCCTGTGATATCTATTAAATAATAGAATTAACACACGTGTGGTTTTACCTCATTCACCCGGGCCGGGTTGGGGGGGGGGGGAAGCAACAAATGCTATAAACAGTCTAATGAAATAGATACAAAAGAAAAGGCAACGAAACTAGAAAAGGGATGATATCCTCTTATCCTTCCTCCAGTTTCTCATCGCACTCCAATTCCCATTTGTTGTCCATATATAAACCACGACTCATTCATTACCACTCCCCTTCACCTCCCCGTCCTTGCACAATTGACCCCCTTCTGAAGGAGCAAACCTAATCAACATCAACCCTCATATTCCTCAGCTCATTCTTCGCCTGTATAATTTCTTCCTGCAGTGTTGCGTGCGCCTCGGGAACATCATTGAAGGTATACACGCCCCAGCCTAGTCTGAAAAGCAGGTATGCGCCTAGGACCATTATGGAGTAGAAGGGGAGCTGCGGGTGTCGAAAGGAGGGTGAGTTTGTTAGTTTGTATTTTGCGATTGCTGGGTAGACAGAAGGAGATCAGATTTGAGTAGGAACGTAGAAAGTGAGAAGTGGTAGAAGTAGCTGAAGTATCCTCCGAATATATAAGCTGTGGTGACGTACAACTGGTATTATTTCACTCTGAACGGTAGGGTTTAGAGGTATTAGACCGAGATAGAGGGCGAGGTAGAGCTATGGGTTTTAGCATGCTTGGGTTAGCTGGGGTCTTTTTTTTTCTTCTCTTTCTCTTCTATGTTTGCGGAGGAGGCGGGCAAAGGAGAATCGATATGGTTGGGAGATTCGATTGTTAAAGTGAGGTGCGCAACTGGGGTTGATGGTATGTTTGGGCAGTATATATTATTTCTTTTTTCTTTTGCATACCGAGGTAAGAAGGAGGATGACAGAGAGGGTTTGTTGAGCGCGGGTCATGTTTGGGGATGCGCAATCGGGGGGATATATGAGCTCGGAGTAAGTATGGAATCCAGTGGGGATTCGGCCAGTGAGGAGAGCACCAATTAGAAGCGGATTGGGTGGTATGAGTATAATAATTAATTAATATCCCCGGAGTGCCACTAAATCTATATGAAACTGTTGCAGGTTGGATTATTCTTTGATGATTTCTTCCTTGTCTTCTGTTGTTTTGTTGCCAGCTTCCACTTTTCAATAAACATCGACAGTCGTCAGGTGATAACTATAACTAACTTCTAGCTCTTCCGCGCGTTTATTTAGGACACCGCGGCTTAGCGAAATCCGTACCCGCAGAAGTGGCGCGCCTCGAACTAAGCTTCCTTTTAAGCTCTTACCTACACTACTACACTCAGGTCTGAATTACCTCCCTCTTCATTCCAGATCGCTAGAGATCTTCCCTTCGCGCCCAAGGGGAGTGAGTGGATTGGTAAACAATACACTGGATGCAATAGTAGTGACCGTCAGAGTATATACTCCAAACAACTCCAGTCAAGCGGATCTTGAAAAAATCTCATGGAAATGATTCCAAATTTCATATTTAGCAAGCCCTACAACGGCCATTAAAGGAAACGAGGAATCTCCGAACAAAGTATCAGAGTTAGCAGCTACAAGAGATAGACAACTGGAGAAAAGGTCTCAGCGGAATAGGTTCCGCTTAAGACATTGACTAGGCTAGGAGGTGAGGATGTGCTTTGCCATTTGGCGCTCTGCTCTGTATTTTCCGGAGATCAGTTCAACTCGAAAACTTTGATGTCCGACCCCATCTTTCCACAGTATTGTTCACCTCTGTCTCTACCCCTGGGTGTTAGAGCCTAATCGTCGAAGAAAGGGTAGACCCATATATCTTGAAAGTAGCCACTGGAGGTTTGTGAGCATCCCCAGGAACACCATAATCGAAGACTATTGCAAACGTGTCTTGCTATTCTCGTGATCAAGTGCCGTATTCGACTGGTGGTGCTCACATCTACCGTTTGTTTACAGATTGTACGAATCAGCTCTGTGTCTGCCGGGACCGTGTCCAATTCATAGGAGTCAAGAATAGCTGGGCGAGCAATGATGAGAACAGATATCGAATGCAACGTTGGAGATTGTGCTCGTTACAGCGACAGTGGAAGCCATGGGTGCGTTTGAAGACCTCCTGCGAGGAGTCTGGGGTGAGGTAAATATCCACAGTCGGGTGCAGCTCCCAAGTTTACCTGGGGTTCCGGCGCAGCCAAAAACCTTCGAATAAGTCCGGACAAGACATATGAGAGTTGTTGGTTCTCCGTATCGAGGTTTTGAGTGTGGCTACTATTAGCTGTTGTGGGAATCAAGACAAGGCTAATAAAGGCTAGCCGGCTAAGGCTCTTAAATACATATCTGTACTATCTCAGTCTTGCAGACATGTCAACCTGGTGAGTTTCTCAAGGCAATCATCTACAGTCTGCTGCCTAGGTAGCAATAGGGTGTCATTTTCATGCAGTGATATCCGTTAGACTTCTCCGAAGCAGCCGACACACTCTTGCACAAACACCACACATATTACTCATACATCACTCTTCAACCGCTCCACCTTCAACACCAGGGCTAGGATTAGGATATGATTAGGATTAGGGGGTTAGAATTAGAGTTGCTTAAGGGTAACGGGCTTTGGAAATACAGAGATGTGTATGAGATATGTGTAAGATGTGACTAGTGCATTAGTTTCAATGAAGAGGTGTCGGATTTTATATTAAACCAGGTGTTTCCGGCGAGATTTAAAAACCACAACTTAACTACTATCAGTTAAGCTAGTTAACTAACTAATTAAATAAATAAACTCAGTAACTAACTAGTGAGTTATATAATGTATTTCCCAAGCGAGCGCAACACCCAAGCGAGCACAACACCAAAACCACCAGAGCTCAACTCATTAGATTTTAATTCAAATTATCTCAACGCTACAACACTCAATTAAATTAAATTAAATTACATGCGGTTGAGAACATCTTAACCTAGTATGCCTGAGATTATTACAATTGCTGCAGCGTTGTGGAGCTCGTCGGCGTGGAGCAGGTGCAGATAGTGAGGACTCAGGGATTGAATAACTGGCTGTTCAACAGGTGGTGCAGGTGAAGCTAGAAGACTTTGAACTTCTTCACTAGTTAAACCTCCTACTTCTTGTTGAATTTGGCGCCTAGATCTCTTGCGTTTTTGCTTCTCTATCTCATTCGCGTTGAATATATCCTGGTATTGCTTCTTCATAATAGTGGCACTGACCATCCCCATATTCACAGGCCTTGATAATTTGATCAAAACCTTCCACAAAGCCTTCAGGCTGATCTTCCACTAAGTCTTTGATCTTATTTGCCTGCCAGTGTAATTGCCGAGGATTACTAGGTGTTTGAAGCACCCAGGATGTGGTTGAATTGCTAGAGCTGCTGCATTGGGGGGGGGGGGTAGGGGTCCGTAGTTGAATATCCAGCTGCTGGAGGACGTAGTCAGGTTGAAAGGGCACTATTCCAGCTGCCTTGAAACCATTTTGGATAGTCTGAGGCTTGAAGGCCGCAGCACGCGCTGCAGGATAAGCATCTAAGAAATCTGCTTTCCAAATGACATTAAATCCAAGCCGCATTCGCTGCTGAACTAGGTCCCCATATTGCTCACTTTAAAGCTGAAAATACGCTCACATCTAGTGGCTGCAAAAGATGTGAGGAATGAGGTGGCATGCAAAGGCATATTATAGCATTATTCTTGCAGATTTGATTGAATTCTGGAGTAAGATGACTGCCATGGCCATCAAGGATAAGAAGGATAGATCTGCCAACTCTGCGAGGATTTGTTGCTGGAATAAACATCTGTTGAAGCCATCTCAGACCTATTTCATCAGTAGTCCAGTCATTTGGACTAGCATCTAGCCTCCAGCCTTCTGGAAGGCCTTCAAACCACCCTTCCAACAAGCCCTTGCTTTTGAGAATAATATAGGGAGGTAGGGCCCATCCAGATGCATTGACTGACTCAATTACAGTCACCCATTCACGATTTCCAGGCTGTAGAAGCTTTGCTCTGCTGTAGTGCTCACTACTAGTAATAACCTTAGTAGTGGCGCAAACTCCCATAGCAAATCCAGTCTCATCAAAGTTGTATATATCTTCTGACAGAATCCCTTGCTCAGCAATTGTATCCCTCAAGGTCTTAAACCAATCACATATGATCCGCTGATCTTCACACTTGGCCCGCCCGTTCATGATTATAGCGCCTGGAATAGAAGCTTTGGAGCTCTGGACGGCGTGCCACTAGATTTGACACCCAGTTCTTGCCAATGCGGAGAGGGGGGGTGGTGGAGGTGGTTGAATTCCGTATAGTAAGAAGATAATTAGCTGTATCCTCAACCAATGCTGGCCGTGGGGGAAATCATTGTTTAGCCTGGTCCAGCACCCATTCAACTAGCTTTATCTTCTTCAGCAGGAGATAATTTGTGTGAATTTGCGCGTAAATTCATCCTTGATTGCCGGCCATTCAGTTAATAGGTTAGAGTAGAATGAGAGACATTAAATAAGCGAGCAGCTTCACAAATTGAAGCAATTTCTTGATTTTTAAAGGCTTTTATGGAGAGTTCAAGTCTTCGCTCTCTTTCTAGAGAATCTGAAGCATTTTTATTGAGAATTGGTGGCATAATTACGCGTTGAATTGGAAGGGTAGATAAATTAAAAGATATTTTGAATTGGTGTTGCGTTCGCTTGGGAAATACGTTACGGTGTTCCAGCGTTTGTTAACTAATAACTAGTCTCTTCCACTGGCTTCAGTTAGTGAGCCCTAAGAATGAATTAACAATCCACTAGTTAACAGAGCGACATCTCCACTCCCCAACATCAAGTCGATAAATCTGAGAAGATACGCACCGTGGAGCTACAAAACTACTCAGGTGACTGCCACCCCAAGAGCTTCATTATTAGTTACTTGTTTATCTGGCTCTAAAAAATAGGAATTGGGACATTCGTGTGAACAGCCGTCACCTCCCAAGTATCGACAATATTTTCAAGGTGAGCAGAAAGTTCCGGTCCGAACCATTAAACTCAGTTGAAAATGCAACATTTGTAGAAACTAAATCGAACAAATTTAGATTTCTAGATATTTCGGGTTTATCTACGGATATTGAATAATTCATTGCAAGGTGCAGACACTACGAATTAAAAAAAAAAAAAAAAAGGAAAAAAAAAAAAGAAAGAAAGAGGGGACAAAGATTACAGATAAATCAATGTCTTTTCCCCTGCAAAACACACACGTAACTCTCTTACCATAATGTATCTCCCCTTCACTAACCCGGAAAAGCAAAATATCTACTGGTCAGTTAATAACCACTAGCAAGCTCACAGATGCGACTGTGGCTGAGAAGCAACCATCCTCTCCGTGGCTTTCTCAATCCGCGCTCCGAGGTCCTGGTTAATGCGCGTAAACATGCAGTAGGTGGCCTTGCGCACTTTCTCCTGTGCCCCGCAGAGGTGGACGGACACATTGTGAACGAAATTCTCCTGCTGTCCCGGTTGGCGTCCAAGAACCTTCCAGAGGCCATTAGGTTGGACGAAATCCTCATCCGTGACTGGGATTTGCTTGGACAAGGCGGCGCCAGCCCACTGCTCGTGCTCCTGGCAGGCCTTGACGGGCTTGAACTCCATCGGGCGGAAGGTGGACGGGTAGTTGGGGTTGGCGCCGTAGTTGCCATTGATAGCCATGGCACCGTCACGCTGGTACGGGTTGAAGGCGCGCAGTGGGCAGTTGACAGGGATCTGCTGATAGTTGACGCCCAGGCGGTGGCGGTGGGTGTCGGGGTAGGAGAAGAGGCGGGATTGCAGGACCGGGTCGGCGGATGGTTCGACACCCGGGACCATGTGGGAGGGCGAGAAGGCGGCCTGTTCGATTTCCGCGAAGTAGTTCTGCGGGTTCTCGCAGAGGGTGAAGCGACCGAAGCGGCGGAGGGGCACCTCCGCCTGGGGCCAGACTTTGGTCAGGTCGAAGACATTCCAGCGGAACTTCTCAGCCTGCTCGGGGCTGAGGACCTGGACGTAGCACGTCCAGGATGGGTATTCGCCGCGCTCGATGGCTTTGAATAGATCTTCAGTATGCCAGTCCGGATTATCGGCGGCCATCTTGGTGGCTTCTTCGTTGTTAAAGGTCTTGTTGCCCTGGTCGGTCTTGCAGTGGATTTGGACGTAGTTGAAGGTTCCGTCAGGCTTGGTCCACTTGTATGTGTGTCCAGAATAGCCGTTCATGTGGCGGTAGGAGTACGGGGTGCCACGGTCACTGAAGAGATGCATGACCTGGTGGGCGGACTCCTGATGGGTGGAGAGGTAGTCCCAGAACATGGTAGCATCCTTCAGGTTGGTCTGCGGGTTTCTCTTCTGGGTATGAATGAAGATAGGAAACTTTGATGGATCACGCAAGAAGAAGACTGGGGTGTTGTTGAAGACCCAGTCCCAATTTCCTTGCTCGGTGTAGAACTTGGTGGAGAACCCTCTAGGATCGCGAGCACTATCGGCGGATCCCTTCTCTCCACCCACAGTGGAGAAGCGGGTAATACACTTTGTCTTCTTTCCCACACCCAAAAGCATATCAATGACCGTCTACAATGTACCGTTAGCATTTATCCCAAAGAGATGTCTGAAGCGAACTTGTGAACTGGTATATGTGCGTATGGAGTGTTCACATACAATGTCGCTGATATCATCCAAGACTTCGAATTCACCGTAAGCTCCTGCACCTTTAGCATGGACCACTCGTTCGGGGATTCGCTCGCGATCGAAATGGGCAAGGAGATCAATCAGGTGGAAATCCTGGAGGAGCAGGGGGCCTTTCACTCCCACCCGCTGGGAAGACTCGGGGTCCATGACCTAGAACCGCAGGATAGTCAGCATCTAGCAAGCCGGACGAGATTCCGTGCCGTCATATGCTCTTATGCGTCCCCGGTTGGTTGTCGCATGTTGAGACGGAGTAGTAGATTCTACAGATAGGCAGGCGACTTACCGGGCAGCCATTGGACGTGGTGTAGGTGGGAGTTTCAGTATAACGGTAAGTACCTAGAGAGCAGTGTAGTGTGGTCAGCAATCCAAGTAGATATGATATATATATTATATATAGATATATATATATATATATATAGGTGTGTGGATGTATGTATTGTGTCCATGGTGTGTCATGGGCCAGTAGCTCCAAGGGGATAGATAGCACAATATTGAGGGGTCCTTGAGGGCACCTACTGGACGCAACGTCGGCACCCATGATGGCGGCAGGTGGACACTAAGATCTAACAAAATCAATCTACGAGAGTATAGGAACTCGATAGTGGTAGGTGACGATCCGTTCTCGATGGAGAAGATAAGGAGTATTTGAAGCCGGAACAACCAGTCCAAGGGACAGTGAGGAGACAAACTAACGCCGGAGAAGAAGGGGGGAAAAGAGGGGGAGGTGGCGTTCACTTATATATATCGCGAATCCAGTATATCTGGCCGATATTCTTTTCCTTTGTGGCCCCCCCTCTTTTGGGGGTGGGGGTATGCTGCGGGGAAATGCGTCACAAGTGCGGTACATCCAATCGCTCGCATTCTGGCAGGAAGAACAAGTATTCTTCTGGTCCCTCCGTGTAGCCGATGCACCGCCACGAAAGGGCAACTTGTAACTATAAGCTTATCTGGGTGAAGCACTTAACCATATTCACTCCCCTTCCGCCGCGGGGAAACAATAATTAGCTAAATATAAATCTTGGGTTTGTTAAATAACATTGGTGTAAAGTAGATTGAGTAGTTTTACTCAAACATCTATCTATATTTTGATGTTTCCCCCCCCCAACCGAACTAGTCATCTGTTGCACGAAGCTTGAGGTGGATATGAAGAGGAATATCATATCCTCATATCCACATGCGGGGCCTCTGCAGTAAACTGCCTTACTAATTGAACCAGTCAACTCCCAGACAAAAATAATCAGAATCACACGAAACCTTGGGACGCCAGCTAATGGATCTGTTTTCTGGTCTGTTCCAATCACAGCCGTCCTGAAGGTAAGAAATCCCAAATCTGGAACAGCGAAACGTTACACTTGTATTTATGGATGGCCACAAAAGTTGTAGTCGTTTTTTATGCCTCAACCCAGTTCCGACCCATGGATCGCGCAGGACCTCCCGAAATAGCCCAACCACGGAATTGGTGGCCCGGCCCAGAGGGCATACCTAAAAATTCCAACACCTTGCGCTTGTCCACAAAGTTCCTCTCTGCTTCCAAATGTTCAAGATCACCTGGACAGGTCATTTATTGAAAGATTTGAGAGCATAAAATCCTCAAACCTAATTAGTAACCGCAGTTTTTAGCTCGGAACGCAAAATGCCTCGGGTCGATACTGATTCTAGAAGTTCGATACGAAGGAGGCCGCTTCCTTTCAGCTGCCAGCAGAAACAGCCGAAATCCTTAAAACTCTTTCATGGGGTAGCTAGCTAGCTAGTTACGGGAAGCTAACGCCACAGTTGAGACAGTCCGCTTCTAGAGTTCACGGGTTGGGAAGTTTCAGACATCCCGACCAAAACGTACGTCCAGGAATCAACTACTAACGTGCCCAAGTTGTTAGTTGCGTGCAATCCACCCAGTGGAGACCAACCGCCAGGGCACCCTTATTATGGCTAACGTTAGTCTTCCCCTTCGTTTTTCATCCATGATGTAGTTAATGTTGTTCACCCGAGAGTAATTCTGAATAATAACCAGCACTATTTTTAACGGGTCTCTTCCCCAATCCCGAAGTGATTGCTAAGGGAAATAAAGGAAGCGGAGGAGAAACATCATGCAAGATATTAATCTCAGGAGACAGTCGGTTTGCCGAGCTGTCTCTGCATCTCCAGATACGACGAGCTATCCCCAAACAACCAGGTCGCGATCCCACAAGGGAGCAGCAGCACGCTGTACGGCGCCTTCATGTGTATAACGTCCATATATATTCGAGCAGATCAGATAGATAGATACAGCAAGAGATGGATACCTTCTAGAAACGCAAAATGGGGGGCTGCGGGAACAAGAGGGGGGCCAGCTCGCTCGATCTTTTATTAGTATCAGAATTGAGCTTGAAAATTAAGTTAGTTTCATTCTTCTCACAAGGGTTCCTTGGGTAATTAATGTTTACACAACCTATTTCTCATAAAGTTGCCACCACTGAGCTGGCCAAATGGGAGAAGTTGTTAGAGTTAAACGCCCCTTGCGCCCGAGTTATTAACCCATTGCGTTGGATAAATGTCCCACCTAATAATAGTAGTTATGATATAAGTCAGGTGGCGGCCACCCCATGATGGCTCGTTAACACAATATATTTATAATACATGTGTGTATATATGGAAGCAAGACAAGATTTCAGCATTGATCAGAATAACCTCCTTTTTGATTTCAGAGCGTCCGTTTCCTTTCGCTGACGACCGTCGAGCTAATTACTTAAAATAATCCGTCCGGGTAACTATACTAGTTCTTCAGAATGCAGATTCCGTAGTTGTTCGATTTAGAGCCAAACAATGAGGACGTAGAAAGAAAGGTGAGGCTTCGTAAAAGGGCGCTGTAACTCGGGAAATCTGTCCTTTTGTTGAGCCATGTCGCTGGATCTGGAGGATAGAAGAAATGCAACAATTGTGAGCCCCGTAAAATTCCCTGTCGTCCCCTAGATACTCTCGTAGCTAAGACGTAAAGTATATATATATACAGGGGCAATGTTCAAATAGAATTCGCCGGTGAAGGTTTAATTAAACAAGGCAAACAGAGCCTTAAGACCAAGCCCGTTCTGCCCTATCAGAGAGCCTTGGCATCGCGGGCCGCAGTTCCACCGGTTCAACAGCAGCTTGTTTCAGCCTCCCCCAACATCAATCAAACAACAAATATAAAGAAAAGGGCCCGGCGTCCTTTTGGACAATCAAAGACACCCCAGGATTTTCAACAGCTCTTCAACTTGCTGGCTGTTGCGATGCCCGGTCTTCTCTTGCGCACATAACTATACCCGGGGTTTCCTTTTTTTGTGTGTGTCTTTTTTTCTTTCTCTTTTTGGGGTGTTCAACGAAGCTGTAGAGTCGAACTACCTTCCCCTTGGACAAACCTGGGGTGAAGTCACAATGTTCGAGGATCCTCAAGTGAGCATGGCCCAAAATTATATGAAATACCCGTTTGATGGCAAATCAGTCACTCCTCTTGGGAACTCTATTTGATTTCCCACATTTTTGTTCCAATCATAAGCAGGGGGGGAAGAAAAGGAAAAGAAATCACCGTTTAAGGTTTTCCCACCAATAACCAGGAAAGGGTTGTATCAAAGGGTTGTATCACGCACCTCGGGAGGATCCGTGGCATGCATTTGGATCTCATCTTCCTTCAGTGTTAAGTAGGAAATCCTCTTCAGGCAACAAGTGCTATATACTCAAAGTCAGATCAGATGCTGGCTTGCTATCCCATTTCCACTGCTCTATTTTGGATAGGTCATGTATAATTCCAGCGAAGCAGCGAATGAGAGGCCGAAATGACATTCTAAGGTTTCATCTCCCCAGACTTTTTAATTCTAGCTTTACCGCTTTCCCCGGATTTTCAGTTATTCTATGGGTCCCACTTTTTTGCCATTTCCTCCCCCGCAAAAAAAAAAAGGCCATTTCATCTCATCCGCTTAACATCATCGCTTGGTAACTAACCAAAATTCACCACTTCTTAACTAACCCCTTTTTCGAACTTTTGATAGTTCTCTGACACATCGAAACCAACCTGCCAGAGAGCATTGTGATCGCAGTCATTTAACTGCCATGCATGAGGTATCCAACATTTACATCATCACAGCTATCGCTGTGGTTGGTGGCGCTCTCTTCGGTTTCGATATCAGCTCCATGTCTGCGATGTGCGTTACTACCGTTCCCTTCCAAGATATTTCCTATTATCTCCTCCGCTGACTTCCTGCAACAACAATAGCATCTCCACCCAACACTACCTTTGCTACTTCAACCAAGGCCCCAACTACTTTGGGCAAATTACTCCAACTAACCAGAAGGGTCTCTGCAGTGGCCCGAGGCCTGCTATCCAAGGCGGAATCACCGCGGCCATGCCCGGGGGCTCCTGGGTTGGCGCTCTCGTTTCCGGTTATCTAACTGATCTTCTCGGTCGCAAAAAATCCATCCAAGTCGGCACTATGTTCTGGTTTGTAGAAGAACCCTTCAACCAAATATTTGAATCATGTTCATGTCTGTGCGTATTAAATAGGCCCGCTAACCGCTGATGTTTCCTCCTTTTATCAATCAGGATTATCGGAAGTGCCATCTCTAGCGCTGCTCAGAACATCGGTATGCTTATTGGCGGACGCTTTATCAACGGGTTGGCGGTTGGTATCTGCTCCGCTCAGGTTCCTGTCTACATCTCAGAGTTGGCCCCTCCTTCGCGCAGAGGTCGACTAGTTGGAACACAACAGTGGGCCATTACGTGGGGTAAGTTCTTAAATCTATTATTCTCTCGCTCACTGTGCGTTCATCCACTGACAGAATATGATAACCAAAAAAAAAAAAAAAAAAGGTATTCTGATTATGTTCTACTTGTCTTACGGATGTACATTCATCGGACCCGAGAACGGCACAGCTGCCTTCAGAGTTCCGTGGGCTCTGCAGATGATTCCCGGCATCTTCCTCTTCCTTGCGCTGTTCTTTATGCCCGAGTCCCCTCGCTGGCTGGCTAAGAAAGGTCGCTGGGATCAAACTCGGAGGATCATCACCGCCATCCATGGCAAGGGCGACACTACCAATCCCTTCGTCAGGGCTGAACTGGAAGAAATCGAGTACTTCGTCAATCTGGAGAAGACTAATGATACCACGTATGCCCCCGATACACACACAGTGATGTTGAAGTAAAAGATTACAACGACTAACTCCATGGGCAGGTACTTTGACCTTTTCAAGCGAGATATGATCTTCCGAACCCACGTCGGTGTCTTTACACAGATCTGGAGTCAGCTGACAGGAATGAACGTTATGATGTATTATGTACGTATTAAGTAGACCACTCTTGTCTCCTTGTGCCACTATTCCCAAGATCACATGGCTAACTAATTTTATCTAGATCACCTATGTGTTCGCTATGGCCGGAATGAAAGGCAACACCTTACTTGTGTCATCCTCGATTCAATTCATCATCAGTAAGCCCCAACTCTATTGAGAAGCCCTTGAGAGAACCTTCAACTTAACGCAATTCGTTTCAGATGTCGTCATGACCGTCCCCGCACTCATCTGGGTCGACAAATGGGGTCGCCGCCCCACCCTCATAGCCGGTGGACTCCTCATGTGTACTTGGATGTTCGCCACTGGTGGGATTATGGGCGCGAACGGCCACATCGTACCCGGGGGCATCGATGGAGTCAAGGCTGTGTCGTGGGCCGTCAACCCAGGCCCCGCAGCAAAAGCTGTCGTGGCATGCACATATCTCTTCGTCGCCTCCTTTGCGCCCACATGGGGCCCCGTCTCCTGGATCTACCCGCCCGAACTCTTCCCACTCCGCTTCCGCGGCAAGGCTGTGGCGCTGTGCACATCCGCCAACTGGATCTTCAACTTCGCTCTCTCTTACTTTGTCCCACCGGCTTTTGAGAACATTCAATGGAGGGCATACATGAGTAAGTCGCTTATCGCACTCATCCGTTCTTTTTCAACCTTTCCACATCTTAGTATTAACGAGCAACCACACAGTCTTTGGCGTTTTCTGTGCCGCAATGACCATCCACGTCTTCCTCGCCTTCCCCGAAACAGCGGGTAAATCCCTCGAAGCCGTCGAAGAGATCTTCACGAACCGCATACCAGCATGGAAGACACGTGTCACCACCAGCGTTACCATCGCAGCCGAGCAAGGAGATGTTGAGGCTACGGGCACCTTTTCCGAGCATACCAAAATGCACACGCGAGAGGAGATACGACAGATCAACGCTACGACCACGACCACGACCACGATTGCGACCAACGGCAACACTACCTCTGCTACATCGTCACCCAAATCCAAGGAGCATGCCACTGCCACTGTCTAAGTACGGCGGGCCGTTTCTGTTGGCAGCGGCTAACTTTGTATAAATGTTACTTATGAAAAAAATTAACGACATACAGACTTAGCAAGTTGTATACCGGCGTTACGGCGTAAGGGGCGAGGCGGAAGGAGTCTGGATTGGCTTCTCGTTGTCTCCGATAATTTTATTACCGAGATACCTAAGTCCCAGCTCTCGATTACCGATTTATCTAACCCTTTTTTTAGTTTTTTATTTTATTTATTTAGTTTTTTTTTTTTTTTCCTCAAAGGAAGCGCAGGGATCAAGTGGCAGTTCCACTGCTTTTTATATTTCGCTTTTCTATCCAATACCCTCTTATTAATGTTCTCGATCTCATATTCAGAGGTGTTGAGTATCCACGACTTCTCACTGTCTCGGGTCTCGGGCGGCAATTGGAATTGGCATGGCAATATCCCAGAATATACCCAATGGCTGGTTAACTCTTTAGTATTTTTATTCTCTTTTTGTGTGATTAATAGTTTGCTTACTGTGTGGGTTATGGGAAAGAACCAAAAATTCCCAAAGGTGAAAATAATCAGTGAAAGGAGAATGAAAAGGCAAAACGGAACAGGAAAAAAAATCAAAAAAAAAGGGGAGAAAGGTCACCAATAATTGGAGGACAGATTGAAAAGGAGGGAGGAAGGGGTGGGGTGGTTATGACTCGAGCTACATTGTGATGGTTTTATTATTGTGATATCATTTTAATTCCTGATATGGATGAAGATGGCTATTTTGTTATCAGACTTTCATGCATTAAAGATGATCGTATACACCTCATATATCTAGCTCTCTATTTAACAAATCATTCCTGCTTTCCCACCTGAATTAGCCTGTCAATAACGTTTCTCTTGGAAAATCTTAATAGCTGAATGTTTCTTTCGTATGGAGTATTACCTGTGTGAAGGGTAATGAACGTGTATGGAGGATAAAACGGATGAAAGGACATATCTGTATGTACAGTTTTTCGTAGAAAAATGTCATCCCGAAATTGTGCATTGGATAGTGAGTCGATAGGGTGGTGTCCATGCTGGTTGGTCTTGATTTTGATTGTTCCCCAGTGGAACTCCTCTCAACTCAATAGTTCGAGAAGCAGAAAGGCGGATTCCGTTCGGTTGCTGCTCTGTTAATATTTTTGTATTTGTTCTATCAAATAGGTATTAACAAGGAGATGATGGTGTGTTTGGGGGAGCTGGACCTGAGATGAAAAGAAAGGAGAAAGGAGAAGGAAAGGGATGAATTCTGAATGCTGTCTGCCAGTTCAAGTCCATTCTGATCCCCCCCCTCTTGCTTATGAACTTTCCGATTGAACCGTTTGCTAAAACATCAGGGAATGCCATATTAGCACCAGCAGCCAGCAGACAAATTATCAATCCAAGGTAGTTGTTATATAACTCACCACCAACCAATCCATCCCCTCATCAATCCCCTTACCATCAATGGCCGAACAGGCAACGATGCTCCAATTTCGATCCCTCAACTCACCCAGCTTCAACGCCTCCGAAATCTCCCCAGCCCCCTTCGCGCCCGGCTGGTCCTGTTTATTCGCAAAGACCAGCAGGGCAGCATCGCGCAGTTCCTCCTCGTTCAGCATCGCAGCTAGCTCGTCGGAGGCCGTCCCCAACCGCTCGATGTCTGTAGAGTCGATGACGAAGATTACGGCGGCGGTGTTAGCGTAGTAACATCGCCAGTAGGGACGGATGGAGGTTTGGCCGCCTAGGTCCTGATTTTGAGTTAGATCATGATGGCGGAGTTGCAGGCGAAAGAGGGAGGGAGGGGGTGTGGGAGTGGGAGTGGGGGTGGGGTTAGGTTATGGGAACGTACCCAGACGTTGAAATTGAGGTTTTTATATGTGACTGATTCGACATTGAAGCCGATTGTTGGTATAGTGGTGACGACTTCGCCAATCTAGGTGGATATCTCTGTTAGCTTTTATGAGTTCACTACATAGATTTCTGGAGGGGTAATGGAATACGTGCCTTTAACCGGTAGAGCAGCGTTGTTTTGCCAGCATTATCCTACATGAAGCAACAGTTAAAATTCGTTAATCTTTCACCTAAACGAAGATCCAGTTGATATCTCTTATCCATAAAGGACGTCTCCACGTACGAGTCCCAAAATCAAAATCCGGATTTCCTTCTTGGTCCAAAATAGGCCAGAAAGTATTTTTGATATCGATCCGCCCATTCTTATAGAGAATCTATGCTATGTATATAATGCTGGACAATAAAAGAGGATGCGACCGCGAGGAGGAGAGGGAGGAGGTATTGGGATGTTAGCTCTTTAGCTGTTGCGGTCTGCGGTCCACGAATTCCTCGAAAATAATGGGTATATGTCGTCTTCCAGAGACGCAGGCAAGCTAGGTAAGCCTAGTGACGGTCTGGAAGAGAAGTGAATAGGCGCTGAGACCGTGCTCAAGGTATATAAATTGTATGTCTGCTGTGTAGTGACCCTATTAAACCGCCTTTATAAAGACGTGGAGACGACGGCACAGCTGGCCCCGAGGGAGATTGCCCAACAAGGGAACGGAGAAGATAGTAAGATGTAAGTTGACTACCAGTAAAGAGAGGGAGAGGTAATGAAAAGATATGCGGTGTCTAAGAGAGCGAAAGTATTATGGAGTAAATGTAATCAAGTATTTAAAAAATATGACTCCGGTGAGGGTTTAAGTGGCGCGCATTCACGGCTTTGAAGCCCAGCTAAATATTTACCGTGGTTTCTTTGATCTTCAAACAACCCCATCAAATATTTATCAACTCTCATCGACTCTTGTTCAGCTCTGCTGCAACTCTGCTTCAATCGCCTCTGTCAAGCAGTTGAATACCACTACATACAGGAGATCTGGCAGAGGCATTGCATTGTGGTTCTAGCTTACTTCATACAACCCAGGCAGGGACGTGTAGATAGATACTGATTGCACTGTTCAAAGCTCCGGGAGAGTGGAAAAGTCGACAACAATAACCGGAGACAGAGTACTTTGAGAACTGCTGCAAGGAACAACTGCGGATTCAGGTCTCAATCGATATTCCGTCTACGATACTGGCTATCATCTCATGTCATAGAGCTTGCGCTATCGCATTATTTATTACCTCAATCGCGACCGGATTTGCACCTGAAACTTCTCACCGTTCGCTCTCGTCGCAACCGGATTAAGACAATCAGGATATCAAGATGGTGGGTAAGAAATCTGGGGCAAGTGGGGAGATGCTGAAGAAAGAGGGTATGTAGTATACTTGTTTATCCCGCACATACTTGATCCTTTCAACTGAGCTGGCGCTTATCCCTCTTCGTGTTTGATAGGGCTGGCGAGATTTCACAATAACATGGCCCTTACGAGCTGGCCACAGGTTCCTGCTATCAACCAGAAGAACTATTATACGTAAGTCCCTCCTTCAAGCTTGGGCAACGCCGGATACACCGGCTAGAGGGAGAAATTTCGTTTACTAATTTTACAAATATGCGCGCAACTTTGAAATGGTTCATTTAGTGAGTACCTGAAACGGGATGACCAAATCCTTGCCTACCGACTTCAGAATGAAGAAGCCCGCAATCGCATGACTAAAAGTGCCAAAGATCGAGATAGAGCTCTGGCAATGTCTAAAACAGAGCTCCCACTTCCAGACACCGAGCAAGATGCTGATGGAGACACCGGGTTGGACGACGCGAATGGGGAATCCGCCCAGGAGGTGGTTGGCTCCAAAATCATCGTTATGCACGTTGGAAGCCAGAATCTACGGATCGGGCTCGCAAGTGACGCGTTGCCCAAAACTACACCCATGGTCATTGCACGCAAGTCTCACGAGAACGAGGCGGAAGAAGACGGTGGTGAGCCCAGACCGAAACGCTTAAAGCTTGATGATGGACGGCTTATGGAGCCGGAAAAGATGTTTGGACCTGAGGTATGTTGCTATATATGTGTCACATGTCATGCCGTATTCGTTATGCTGGTCATTGTATGGGCTACAACTGACATTTCTTTTTATTGTATGGGCAGTTTTCATCCCAATACACTACAATGTGTGCAGAACTCAGAGCACATATGCGTGCAAATAAAAGACGAACACTTCCCAACTCGAAAGAAATGGTGATCAATTACAATCGTAGAACAGTGCCAGAAACCATCTCTGAGCATAATGATCCAATGCGTATTGAATGGACGGAAGTTCCGTCTGACCCAAAGCAAGCCCCTGAGTACCTCACCGGAGAAGCTGCATTGAGAATACCAGACTATTCTAACCCTCGATATAAGCTATTTTGGCCTATCAGGCACGGAAGGCTCAATGAAAAAGACTACGACAACAAGACCCTGCTCTTTCTAGATATCGCACTCATCCTCGAAGAGGCCATGAAGTCCCAGCTTAACTTGATCCGCAAAAAGGACTGGGGCCAGTACTCCTGCGTTTTCATTATCCCAGACCTTTACGAACGGGCATACGTTACGCAGATTTTGGAGATGCTGATGCGAGAATTTGGATTTGCCCGCGTCTGCTTTGTGCAGGAGAGTCTTGCGGGGACTTTTGGAGCTGGATATACGTCAGCTTGTGTCGTGGATATAGGTGCCCAAAAGACTTCAATTTGCTGTGTTGAGGAAGGCATGTGCATTGAGAGCTCGCGTGTGAATCTCAAATATGGCGGGGCAGATGTGACTGAGACATTTATCAAAATGATGCTCTTTGACCACTTTCCGTACGAGGATATCAATCTGAACCGTCGCTACGACTTCCTACTGGCTGAAGAATTGAAAAGGATTTTCTGCATGATGAATGAATCCAACGTCTCCGTGCAGGTGTCCGAGTTCCATCTTCGGGCATCTGGCCAAGATACACGCAAGTACACCTTCAAGGCCTACGATGAGGTCATCCTTGCACCAATGGGCCTATTTCAGCCTGAGATATTCGACGTCTCCCAAAAACTCAAAGGACGTCGAAAGCTAATCAGCCGATCATACGATTTATATGATGGCCAACCCAACGACCCCACCTCAGCCGCCCAGTCAGAAATCCTCATGGCGATTGCGCCCTCTTCACCACCAAACAGTAACAACAACAACAGCAACAACAGCAACAACAGCAACAACAGCAACAACAGCAACAACAGCAACAACAGCAACAACAGCAACAACAGCAACAACAGCAACAACAGCAACAACAGCAGCAGCAACAACAATAATGGCACAGGTAACTCTCAACCAAACCTCGCCGACGTACAATCAACACCCAGCCGTTCCCAAATCCTCAACGCCATAAGCCGTCTACAAGACCAAGACCCAACCCCACGTTCCTCCGTCGCCGGCTCCCCAGCCCCCGACGCGATCGGTACGCCGCAACAAGGCGGCCCGGGAACTCCAGCTCCAGCCTTCCAAGCCCCAGCGCCCTCCACAACCCCACGCCGCCCTACCGTCGAAGAACGCGACGACATCCTCCCCATCTTCCCGCTAGACAATGCAATCTTCACGGCCATCGGTGGCGTGGCACGCGTCGAGGAGAGGAAGTTCACCGACTTCCTCGGCGGGGTGTTGGTGATTGGTGGGGGGAGTTTGATTTCGGGGTTCCATTCGTTCTTGGAAGAGAGGATGCATATTCGGCGGCCTGAGTTGGCCAGTGCGGTTATGGTTGGGACGCCGCCGAGGGAGTTGGATCCGCAGGTTGTGGTGTGGAAGGGGGCGAGTGTTTTTGCGAAGTTGGATGCGACGAATGATAGTTGGATTGGCAGGTTAGAGTATGATCGGTTGGGGAGCCGGATTATGACTTATAAGTGTATGTGGGCTTGGTGATAGGGTGTTGGTTCTTATTTAATTTCTGTTTCGATGGCCGGGATGGTTAATGTCTTGATTGTATCGTATGGGAATGTATTTTCTTGCTTTATTTTATTTTATTTATTTTGCTTTTCTTATATATTTTTTTTTTAAAAAAAATAGAGTATCTTTATAATTGTGAAGACTTCTTAGTTCTGGACTACAACTTTCTGCTCCATAATGAGTTGAATCAATCAAGTCATCAAATTGGACATGTCATCTCCGTATTGTTGTACTTTGTTTGATAGATGCTCGGAAAAACTATTTCTCCATTCCCATTTCTAGCCTGCGGTGACAGTTGGCAGAATGCTTCCCGATATCAATTTGATTCGCTTGTTGAAGACAAATGTTTTGTCTCAACATTTGTCTCTACACTTCACTGTTGCTATTTTCGCAGTCGTCATCGTATCTCTTAACCCTTAATTATTTTACAGGTGTTAACGCAACCCCCATCGTACATCAGGTAATCCATTTTCATTGTTCCTGGTGAGACCCCCAGGATCCAGCTCCCTTGTCGCAAACTTCTCAACACAACCAGATGGACTTTCAGCTAACTTCTTTGCGCCAGAACTTTCCATATTACGCCAGCCTTCCGTGGCTGCTCCCCGTAGTAGCCATGTCAAAAACAAAAGATGGCCACTCCGGTGAGAGCTACCACCAGGAATACATCGCCTCTTTACGATATCGCAATGACTTACCGCCCCCCGAAATGCCTCCCAAATTCCTCGAGATTCCCCACGAAGGGCTAGAGCGCTTTCTTACTCCGGGGTTTGCATCAACTATGGCGCGGCGTGAGGAGCCCAACATTGACGTAGATGCGGAAGGTGGCATGCCTATTGATTTAGTGGGCATTCCGGGCCTGCATTTAGGAGATGAGAGTGGTAGGTCTAAACTATTCTTTTCTTGTTTTCCAACAGCGCCAACTGGATTTTCAGTTTTAAAATAATAATCAATAACTAACATGCTCTGTTTCCTCATGGTTAGCTATTATGGCACCTGAAAATCCCCCCCCAATCGATCCCGCTGATCTTCCCCTTCTTATGACCCTCGACCAGCTCCGGAATCCAGCTCCAAAGAATGCAAACGTCAGTTTCCTGCGGCGCACGCAGTATATTGCTGCCGGCGCCGCGGGTCGTGGAGCGGACGGAAACCTCAAGGCAGTGCCCTTTATCACTCCCACCTCCGTGAAATCAGCACCCCGTGCGATGAAACCCACTAAGCTCTCTCGTGATGATCCAATGCACGTTAAAAAATATATTCAAAAGGGATTTGACATCGCATATCCAGAAAGCAAACATGAAGGTGAAGATACAGCAAGCAGAATCAAAGGCCTACTTGCTACAAAAGTAGAACTTGACGCCTGGGCAAACCCCACTCATCCTGATAATCCGAAACTCAAACCAGTCGGATTCTACCCCGTCATTCCAGACCTGGGCGGTTTCCCTGACCCAGGCGGCTACGTGCAATTCAAATTCGACAAGGCGCCTGTCCAAGCAGCTCAGGGGCGACGTGATGAGCGTATGGATGTCGGGATCCTCGTCCCCTCTATGCCCGAAGAGCGCGTCAGCAAAGAGCACGCAAGCAAAACTGCGCTTCACAAAGCAAACCCATCTCTATACCCGGACCCAGGCCCTATCCCCTGGGATTACGACCTCTTCCTCCCAGAGAAACAAGAAACAGCCCCACAAATAAAAGCCAGTCTGAACGTTCTAAACCCGAACCGGAACGACGAAGAAAACTACACACATGAATCCACCGGCACTGACGAAATTCTCAGACACCACCGCTACGACCGTATCCGCACCTACGCCACCAGCTCACAAAACCTCCACCCGGAGCAGAAATACAAAGACGTCGCACTCGTCCTGTTTGACCCAAGGGAGACATCGAACCAAACATCTGCCCTACCCTATCGCCTCAAACAAAAGGCCGCCTATTATTATCCTATCCTTGGTAAGACGCGGCTGAAGCCCGAGCGCGCACGCACCATCGCACAAGCAGGGTTGGCTCCGACACGCCCCAAAGCCAAGGAGGAGCAGGTGCATCAGATTCAAATTGTTGTACGGGATCCAGATGAGGCGGAGGGGTATAAGCGGGCCTCGCATCGGGCGCAGGTTGATTCGAAGTTTGCGAAGACCCTGCCACCGCCACCAGAAGACAAGAGACAGACGGAGGTGAAAGTGGATGGAGGGAAGCAGGAGGTGTTGGCGGAGAGGCCGGCAGGCGTGAGAAGGGAGGATGAAGGTGAGGATGAAATTGAGGATAGGTATAGAGAGAATGATAGGGTTGATGAGTCGGGTAATATTAAGGACAAAGAAGAGGGGAGGCAGAGTAGTAGCGAGGATGATGAGATGGTTGATTCGTGATAGGGGTTAATGGGATGAAATGGGAACGTTTAACGTTGAATAAATGGAATGGATTTTGTTGGTCGTGTTCTGTTGTCTTAATTATAAGACCTCCTACCCCTTTCCAGCTTGCTGAGCCATCATATTGGCTCCTCTTCCTTTTCTCCCTCCACTGCTGCTGCATTCCATTCTCCCCCCTTCCACCCTTCCACCTTTCCTCCTATCCTGAGAACACATCTCGTCTCACAGACTTTCATAAACCACCTTATCGGCTCCCAGCTCTCCTCTAGTTGACACTAATCACGTTATTTACATCTTCCCCTCTTAATCCACGCATATCATGATACAACGAGCCATCTGTTGGCTCCAGCATTTCGCTTTCCGCTTTCCACTTTGTGCTTCTTTTCACCTTGTCCTTTTATTCGTTTCCATTTTGTCAACCCGGTCGTTCCAACGATGTGACCTGATGCAACCTCCACATAGTTATATGCGGACACAATCAACGCCAACCATCTTATGCAGATTAGCAAAGGGAAAGCCTGATCAATGAACCATCGAGCGTCCCTTGAGGAATAGTAAACTCCCAGTGTTGTTATGCTTGTTATACCACGCGATATTGATCCGTATACTGATGCTGGTGGCCATGATAATGATATCCAATCGAATCCAACCTAGTTATCATTTCTCTCGACGGTTGTGCTTCCCGACAATGCATCCAGGAAGAGGACCAACGAACTACGAGGCCTCGAGATCAGTCAGCTACAAAAAGCAAAAGTATGGAGCTTTACTCATAAAGACGAAATGATGTAAAACAAAACGAGGTGAAAATAGGACCTCCTAACTCCAGGAAGAGCTCTGACAGAATTCTAGGTTAACTGTCCCAAGATAATGAAAAGAGCGGGGGGAGGATATTTTGCCATCTACACTATTCCATTTTCTTCCCGTTTCTCATTTCTTCAGGTTGTAATATAATCGCATCACACTATCTGATGCTGAAGTTAATTTTCTCTGCTGGAGGAAAAATGGTCATTAGTTATGGGCATATACACATGCAAAACAGAACACACGAAAACACCTTACACCAACAGGACACCAACCGCTGAGGTTGAACGGGAGAAAGGAAAAACAATTGAGATGGAGAGCTTAAAGAGATAGACAAAACCTAATAATCCAAACAAAACCGGGATGGGGATTATCCCAAGACGATCTTAATTCATAAACTCTGAAAATATATGGATCACGGCAGCCTAACTTGCTACTTCTGCACTCGAATTCAGCCAATTTGAATACTGATTTGGTTCTGTTTTATTTATCCATTTCCATTCTTCAGGAAAACGAACTCTGAACATAAATAAACTCCCATGTCAACCCAACCGCCCATATACATACCCACCCACCCATTCCTGCCGAGAGCCACGCTGCCAAAGGAAAATAAAATAAAACAGATAGATGCAAGGAATAAAAAAGCACCACAACATAAAAACTCCAGTGCCTCGCTAGATCACAATGCGCCTGAACCTGGCAAACCTGGTAACCACAGAACGTAGGTTTAAGAAAGAAAAAAAAAATACAAAGATCATACAAATTAACTGGCAAAAGCAGCACTTTGAGGGAGGGGCGTAACGAAAACGCAACTTAGCCAGCAGCGGGAAACAGATGGAGGAAAAGAAAGTACGATCAATCATCAATATCAACTCGGGAGGGGTGAAGTGCCCAAGTTCCCAATAGGCGTATATAACCTAACGCAACCAAAGCAATATTCGTCTATTCTTTCCATCTTCATCCCATCTAATTTGCTTCACTTAAGGCTCAAGAGATGTGTGGACATGAATATCAGAATCCGACGCATTGTCGTTATCGTCGTCGTCATCATCGATGTCAACGCCCTCTCCACGCACTATGCGGTTCAAGACGCTCTTGTCAAAGAGATCCAGCGCAAAGCGGCGTGCGGGAAGTCTAAAATGGTGACTCTCGAACAGGACCAGGATTTTTCGGAAAAGGGGGATCTGGCGAAAGTATTCTGGTTTTTTGGCTTTGAGACTATATAGGTACAAAAGGGTTTGACAGTTAGCAAGTTTTACATTGGGATTGTTGACTGTTTTTCATTCCTTTCCTTTCCTTTCCATTTTATTGGATAAGGTTGGAAATGGGCCAATGGTCAACCTACTTGTGAAGATCTGATGCTGCCCGCTTGGACAGAACGGTATTGCCCATGTCAATTATCAGATTCAGTATTTTTTGACGCACAGGGTCTGAGTCCGTGGCAGCTTCTTTGAATCTTTCCTTCTCTGCCTGTTCTTCCTCGAAGCTGGGTTTGTACTCCGGGAAAGAAACCTGTGTGATATAATACTACTTAGCTTGGAGAACCCTCAAAAACAATACAAAAATGTCAAGTTTATGGGGAAAAGCCTAAGATAATAAACCGAGCGAACTGGGGAAGAACATACCGAATAAAGCTTACTCAAGTCCACAGGAATGCATGACCCAAGCGAATGCCCCTTGCGATCCACCGCAGCGTCCCAACCTGCCTCAATAAGCATCTCCATCCCATGCCGACTCCGAGAAATAAGCCCCAGCACGAAAAATGCCGTCCCCCTCATCGTCATCACCCCCGCATTTTCCGCAATCCTCACAACCGACTCCACGATCTCCGTCTCCTCAAGAAAAGGTGCACTAAGTTCCATCGACCCCATATTCCCTACCGCCCACAGACACCCTTTAACCTTAAGAAGGACCTCGGGATCCTCCTCGTCCAAATCAAAGTTGCGAATCGTATACGCGAACTCATCGAAGTGGCCAGACTGCTCGAGAAGCTTACATCCTTCGGTCGTCCGTGCCAGCTCGCGGTAGAAATGTGGAGGCACGAGGCCGATATCCTGCATATCGACGATGTCATCGAAGGCAAAGCTGTTGCGTCGGGGTTGATCGACATACGCACGTGAAAGCGATGCTTCGACAAGTCCTACATATGCGTCGTTCTGGCCAAGGAACCAGTCGTCCATTTCCTGGGTGATATAGTCGAGGCCATCCAGGTAGTGATATCCGACGGACGTGGATAGGAATCGAAGAAGCAAGGGTGCACCAATTTCACCGAGGTGATCTAGGGATGGTCGACATTTGACCACGTACTCAAGACAACTTCTTTGGTTACAGGCCTCCTCGAGAATTTTAACGGCGACTTCGCAAACAGCGACATCGGGGTCATAGAGCTGGGTCACGAGCAATTTGACAACCCACTCCCCATTTCCAATATCAGCCATCTGAGAGGGGAACGAAACACTCCCCACAACGTATTTGCGCAAGAGCTTCGTCGCAAAAATGCGAATATCCTTTGATCCCGTTGTTAGAGCCTTGGAAAGGATGATCCGCAGATGACTTTCGAGGGAGAAATCCATGTTTCCAAGCAAAGTCTGAATGAGATCATTTCGATCCCTAAGCTCTATGATGTGGTAAAACATGTTGTGCATATGCCATCTCTCCATCATGTGGAGCCCGCTTGGTTCGCTGCTCAACGTCCCAAGTAACGCAAAGTAACCCCCACTCAACGTCTCGCTGATGCTGTTCCGAGAAAACACAGGCGACGGTGATGTAAGCCCACTCATGCGGTCGACTTGGGCAAGGCACTCGGCAATCTGGCGTAGGAGCTTATTTCCCGCTAGATATTTGGTACCTTCGGGGGTTTGTAGCAGGGTGCGTATGAGCGCACAACCTGTACGGACATACCGTTGATTCGGCTTCGAGTTTCTTATCATAGAAAACCTAGACTTAAACGGGCGATAGAAGCCCATGAGACGTTTCATAAATTTCGAGCCTCTGATTGCTTCATCTACGCGTTTGGGGTTTGTCAAGGGTCCTTCGATGATGCTGTGAATTAGATCCCATTTCCACTTCATGAAATTAACGGAGCTTAGGACATGGGTATCTAAAATTGCCGTCCGGAATTGTGCTTCGTCCATAGTGGGACTCAGTTTGGATTTTCCTTGGTCAGAGCTGAGAAATGAAGCAGATATATCGGCGTGCACTATATATTTGCCTGGTGAGACGTGCATCCCATCTGATCTAGTTAGAGTACGGTTGATGCTCTCCATTTGGTAAACAGTCGACGTCGACACATGTTGGTTATCAGTATCTCGCGAGCTAGCGAAGGGAAGGAGTTGAGGAAGAACCTGAAGCTCGGCACTGATAGATTGCGGTAGAGAATGATGAGCCAGCTTCAATACCTCAGTGAGCAGCAAAGTGCTTTTCCTCTTCAGTGATAGGTCCGTTTCGTCTTCTATTAGATTTGACAAAGCCTAAAAATGTTGTCAGTTTTATATTCTCCCCAATTGGTAAAGTAGACGGAGTTAAACGTTGGAATCAACAGTACCTTAATCAATCCTGCTTCAATGAGCACCGCAAGGATTAAAGTAGAGAAGTGAATTGTAAGGTCAAAGTTGTTGTTTTCATGTTCATAAAACGCACGGAGTTGTTTACTATCAGGCTCCGATCTCAAATTGGTAACTCTGCCATATGTAGTTAGTCTCCGTCCGGCAAGGAACGAGGATGACCATGACGGAGGTTTAATGCGGAGAGCATCAAATAAAAGTTCCAAGATTAAATCTCGTGCCTGGGGTACGGGAAATTGCAAAGAATCTAGCAATGATTTAATGGGTTTTGCCTTGTTGTGCAATAGCGTTAACAGGCCCGGCCAAGTTTTGAGCATTGAGGAGATGACTTTGGCAGATGATTTTAGTCTTGCATGGTGATTGCTATCCCCAAATGGGTCGGTGAAAGCAGCGAAAACACCTTCCAACTCACAGCCGGCGCGGAGATATTTCCTGCTGCAAGGAGTGTCTAGAATATGTATAAAGCCGGCTGCCAGACTCTCCGAGGCGCCAAAAAGCCCTTCCCCGAGAGCATCGTTCAAAATACCAATGCCTCCCGCAGAAAATAGAAGGCCCGGATCTTTCACAAGGATCTCCGTCAGTGTCATGATACAGATGTTTCTCAGACGATCATCCCGATGTTCAGCGATCGAAACAAGCGTCCTCACCACCCCACGTGATATCTCTCGAACCCCATCTTTAACATCAAGAAAGGCCCTGACAAATTTCAGCGCCTGTTCACGTTCCATGGTAGCTTTAGTCTCCTTCGCAAGGGACAGCATGACCAATTCATCCGTATGTAGGGACCTAATTATTTGGATGGACCTTCGATCGGCAATCGCATAACGTGTAAGCCGGTATCCGGCCGCGACGACATCCCTGCTATTGCTAAGTAACATCACCTGAACCCGCAAGCCAAAAACATGCCAGGCCAGGTCATATTTTAACGTTGGATGCCTCTTAAACAACTCCACAAGACTATTAGCGCGTTCCACGTAGTAATCCGACACCATATCCTTTGTCTCCAGCTCCTGTAGGGTTTCTGAAAGGACGTAGGTCGGTGATTCCGTCTCCACGTCCCCATTCTCCATCCCCTCGTCCGGGCCCTGTGATGCCATAGAAGGTGATCGCAGTGGGCTGCCATGGAACATGGCAGATAAACGGCCTGCAGGGGGTGATGTTTGGGCCTGTGCCCGCAACAGCTCCTCTTCTAGTTCGTGTCGCAGCTGTGCGATTTTCATATTCGACGAGCTAAGCTCCGACTCGACCTTCAGCCGTTGTTCCTTGGTCTGCTTCAGATTCTTCGCCAACAGCGCCTCCAGCATATTCTCCGTCCCAACTTTAATCTTCAGTTCCTTCGCGATCTTGCCGCGGAGAACGGCCTGGCGCTCCTCCGCGGTTGATGAAACGTTGGCTCCATCGAGAGCAATGGAACGGGAAAGAAAAGGGAGCTCAGGTCTCGGGGTAATACTGCGCACGGTGTTGACGGTTTTCAAATCGGAACTGAAACTGCCCGGTAGAGGACCGGAGGTGTTGAGAGAGGCACCGCGGGGCCCGAAGTTACTGCTGCTGGTCGCGGAGGGTTTGCCATTCTTGGAGGACTTGGAGGCAACATCGTGACAGCTTCCATCGGTGGAGCCTTCCTCCTGGCTTGAAAAGGAAGTCCCGTCTTTCAGCACGCGGTGCTGGGTTGGCGTCGCAGAGGAAGCCGGATCATATTTTGACGCCATGGATCTCCATCTAGTAGAGGTAGTAGCCGAGTCCCCTGTATCGCCCTTGAGAAGCACGGGAGGTATGACGTTGCATTGGGGACTGTCAGAGTTATCTCGAGTTAGATATCTGGTGTCGAATCAGTGTTCACTGAGGCAGGGGCGGAAGAGGTCATGGGGGTGGGGTTGGGGTTGGGGTTGGGGTTGGGGTGATAGTTGGTGGATCGATCGATATCAGCGGCGGCGGAGTCAAGGTTTCTCTTAGCAGACTGTCTGTTCCCAGTCGTGAGGCCCCGAGAGAACGAGGAGAGAGAGCGCCACAGGACGGCCGCTAAGCTGTGCAAAGAAGCTGGGAGATATCAAGAGAGAGACAAATACACGTTGCAAGAAGTCAGTTTCTACAGCACAGTATGGAAATGCCCCTCCATATATTATTGTCATTGTTGTCGTTGTCGTTCAGTGAGGTTCTCGGTGATGGGATGTTATCGTGATCAACGTCAGGCGAACCTCAACCCCAGTGCTGGGAATTTGGGAAGGCGGCTGAGCAATGAGCCTTGGCAGCAGCTATTTAACCGCAACGAGAAACACATCTGCACATCTACACATCTACGCATCTACACATCTACATCTACTCCTCTATTTATATCATATTCTCTTCTTCAAAAGTATTGATTACCTTATTGAAACCCCTTCTTTGTTGTTGCCATATTTATCGCGAGAAACACTACGCAGTACGGAAGTCTTTTATGTGGATTGTTTCAAGGGTGACATGGCTTGAGCCAGCCAGGTTATATAGTTATTATCGTCTACTCCGTACATACAAGTTCATTATTTATCTGGAACCAGCATCCAGCCTGTTTTAATTATAGCTGAAAATCCTCTTCCGACGTTGTTGGATCTCTGTCCAACAATCACCTAGCATATACATAATTAACCCTTTCCAAAGACGAACGGACGGGTCTGGCGCGCGCCATGCTTGAAATGATCCCTGAGGTCAACCTAGAACAAATCTGCACGTCATCTTCCGGGCAGGGATCCCTGGATGAATAGGACAAGCTCTAACTGACCATACATTTGGGTTGACGGATTTGATCTTTGCTGAACGCAGTAAATACATATATCATGGCCCCTCCACTGCTAACTCCCTTATAACCTCTCGCTCTTCTGCTCGCCTTCCAGCGATAACTCAAGCCTAAACATCTTGCTACTGCGAGAGATTCCAGATTTCCTTTCGGGAGAACGTCCAGAAATCACTCGGAAAAGATATGCTTTTGTCCAACATCAGCTATGTGGACATGAGGCCCGGTTGATCGCTTTTGACCCAAGCATGTTCCCGGCTTGAAAAATATTTCAGTGCTATTCTACTATACCCTACATTCTTGTTAGCTGACCAGGATCCGACGTCATGGCAAAACGAGTTCCAAGTTCGTGACAACAAAAAAAAAAAGGGACAACATTTATATTGTTGAGTGTAGATAGAAGAAAACTATGAGCAGCAGGAAATGAGACAGAGTAGAGTTATTCCAGTAAATTACTCTATCCATGTGGAATAGAGAGCCAGGTATTAACCGAGAACATAGAGAGAAAGAGAGTAAATTCAAGCTGTCACCGCGTCAATCCGACCACTCTGTCGATGTGGAAGAGAGAACTCGGGTATCCCTGAGAACATGAAGGAGAAAAGAGAAAAGATAGAGAAAGAGAAAGAGAAATCAAAGAGAAATCAATCCGTCACCCAGTCAGAGCCATCCATCCACTATCAAGTTCGCAATACGTCCGATTTCCGTGGAGCCTTCATCACACGACGATTCGTTCTTACTATCACGCAGTATCTTATTGATGTAATCTCCGGCACCACTACGGTCAAGGATAATAGCAATTGCCCGGTGCAGAGCAAGCAGTCTTGCGGATGGCGGGTCAAAGATGTTATCTTCCGAGAACAGCAGAGTTCTTGTCACAGGGAAATCGGTTTGTTCGAAGTCCAAAGTGCTAGATTCACGTATTGTGTACGTGTGTCTGGGATGAGTCGAACCATCAGCAGCAGCAGCAGCCTCACCATCCGTGGCTTCGAAGGATATTTGGAAGAGAGCAAAGCACTCGTAAATCTCGGCTGTCAGGGTAATGGCATTACTTGGGTGATGGATATTCAGTCCCTCAATCGACTTAAGCACATCTGGATCCAGCATGTTGAGTAACAACTGTGCGGTTTTCTTGGAATCGTTCTATTGTAGCCAGGGTTAGGGATGAGGTTAGGGAGAGCTAAACGCGTGTAATTGGGGAATGGAAAATCTTCACATACCAACTGAACCTCTCCGTCAACAGTCGTTCCTGACATGATTGCATAGGGTATAATGTGCGAGACCGCAAGACGTGAAAGGGTGCCAGGTGTGTAAACTACATTTCTGAAAGTAGAAGTGTTTCGCTTCCTTCTCTCCAAAATCTCGATGTTAAAATCGTTCGTAACCACACACCGGTTACGATCCCGAGCGAGACAATTACGGCGAAGAGCAGACAAATTTGCTGGTGATCCAACTGCATTTGCAAGCGAGGGATCTGATAAACGCGAGCGAGCTGCGTTCCGCCGTGGCAGCCTGGCCCCTCCAGCCTTGACTATAAATAAATCCGAGTTAGGCTGCGCATAAGTAGCGAGATAGCGCAGATGTTAGTGGAATCAGTGATCAAAATGTGCAGTCGTACGTACTCGGGAGATACAAACTATCAACAAGATATTGTGCGAAAGAGTCTATTGCTGCTACAGCCTCGCTCTTCTGCACCGGGGTAGCCTGGGAGCCGAAGCTCGAAAATCTGGACAGGCCATTGGCAAAAACTGGAGAAGATCCCTCAATGCTTTGATCCTGAGTGTTGTCCAAGTGGGTGAAAAACAGTTTGAGAAATGTGGCTTTTGAAAGAGAATACTCATATGTCAGGCGAACAAGAGTGGGTCTCTGATATGGTTTGCTGCCCTGCATGAATTCGCAGTAGCTGATCAAATTATGAAAGATGAGACTGGCCTCTTCCAGCTCAGCTGTCTTCAGGGCTTGTTCCATTGAGCTCTGAGGTTGAGGATCAGCTTTCGACTCTCCACATGGTGGAACAGACATGACCACCATGACTATGTCATAACTATGAATGTGAAGGGTATAGTTGTTGAATGAGAAGAAAAAAGAAAGATGTGAGAGCTTCTTCCAGAAGAGCAGCACATCTCTCAGCCTGGTTGCCATGCAACATTTCTGTCCTGACAACCGCCCAGTGTTCCTTTAAGCATCTCCATTGAACATATGCAGATAAGCATATACATGCGAGCATATATTAGTTATAGCTCAACTCAATGGTCCAGTTTCAGCGTAGACAACTAAACAACATCATCTTAATGGAGATGACGGTAAAGAATTCCTGGGTGGCAGTTAAGCTGTGTCAAGAACAGCCGTTGATTGAGCATCCCAAGCTTTATTAAGAATGACGGCATCAATTGATGATGACTCTGAAGCGGTGGAAAGGCGTAATAAAACCATCATCCATCACTTGAACTAGTTATCTCATCAAATGGGATATTGTGATATTTATTTGGCACTGCATCCCACGATGAATAATGAGAGTCATGCAGAGATCATCCACACCCACCTCCCCGAAAAGCATCCTTCAAAAACCGGCTCGCTTAGACAGAGTCTATGCTAGGACCTAAATGTCATAAGCGGATGAAGGATCTCATCCTCAGCAATGATAAGTTAATCACAGACACTAGGACTATAGCTCCGGGCGTCGGCGCTGGCCGATGCTGCCAACGTTCTCTCTGTACTGGAAAAGAAGAGAAGAAGTAGTAGAAGAAGCAAATAAAATTCATTAAAAATATGTTATATAAGATACATATTACATGCAATTTACTTTCTGTCACTTTTTATCAGATAAAAGCTTATTTTGAAAGAGTACAGGAGTAGAACTAAGTGAGATGAATGTGTTGTATCTAAATAGAATATTGAAAGATTCTCTTCTTAATTTAAAATAGTAAATAACAATAAAATAAAGTCAAAAAAGTATAAAATGAAATTTATTAATTTTAATAATGTATTTCTCAAGTAGAGTGAATCATTAATTTAAATTATCTTATTATTTAACTAGGTACTTATTCATTTCAATGTACAATTATATCATCAATTCATAATAAAAACACTTTAAATTCTCTTGAAAGAGAGGGGATAATTAAACTTGTATTAAATACTTGAAAAAATAAAAAATAAAATTGATAAAGCTGCATATGTATTTAATAAATTATTCTCTACTTTAAATTATCAACTCAATGATTAAATTATTTATATAAATCTATATATAAAGTTAATAAAATTAATTTATATTGAAGAAAATAAACTATTTAAATAAATATTAAATTAAATTAAATATGAATTTATTTTTTAGTTAATATTTATTAAGAATATTGTTAATTATATTTTTATTATATATAAAATTTTATCAAAGAATATATATAACTTTGATAAAATTAATTTTATAATAAAATTATATATTAATTAACTAATTAATTAACTATTAATGTAATTTCACACTAAGTGAGACATCTCAGTGAGTGAGACATCAAAATCATTGTATCTCAACTAACTAGATTTTAATCTGAAATATCTACACCCACCCATCTCTAATTAAATTAAAATAAATTACACTAGATTGAGAGCATCTTGTTCTCTTTTGACCAGGTAAATTGCAGTTGCTGCACTGCTGTGATGCTTCTGAGTGTGATCTAGGCCCAGAAACTGCAGACTCAGAAGATTGAATGACAGACTGTTCAACAGATGCAGTAGATGGAATAATAAGATTCTGAGCTTCCTACCTAGTAAGACCCCCTGCATGTTGAATCTAATATTTAAATCTAGTCCACTTTTGCTTTTCTATCTCATTCACATTGAATATATCCTGGTATTGCTTTTTTAAAATAGTGGTGCTGACCATTCCATGTTCACAGGCCTTGATAATTTGATCAAAGTCTTCCACAAAGCCTTGAGACTGACCTTTTACTAAGTATTTGATCTTATTTGCCTGCTGGTGTAATTGCTGGGGATTTCTATATGTTTGAAGCATCCAGAACATGTTTGAATTGCTAGAGCTGCTGTGTGAGAGGGTAGAAGTCCAGAGTTGAATATCCAGCTACTGGAGAATGTAGTCAGGCTGAAAGAGCACTATTCTAGTAGCTTTGAAGCCATTTTGAATAGTCTGCAGTTTGAAGGCTTCAGTGTGTGCTGCAGGATAAGTCTCTAAGAAATCTGTCTTTCAAATAGCATTAAATCCTAGCTGCATTCATTATTGAATTAGACCCTCATATGCTCACTTTAAAACTGCAAAAACACCCATGTCTAGTGGCTATAAGAGATATGATGAATGAGGTGGCATGCAAAGACATATAATAGCATTATCCTTGTAGATATGATTGAATTCTGAGGTAAAATGACTGCTGTGCTCATCCAGAATAAGAAGACTATGAGTGCTAACCCTGTGTGGATTTGCAGTAGGAATAAACGGCCTAGTAAGCCATTTGACTTCTATCTCATCCATAGTCCAACCATTAGGGCTAACATCAAGTCTCCAGCTGTCTGGGAGCCTGTCAAACCAGCCTTCCTGTAGAATCTGCCCTTTGAGAATGATGTATGAGGATAGGGTCCATTCTGATGCGTTGACTGCCTCAATCACAGTCACTCATTCACAATTCCCAGACTGTAGAAGCTTTGCCCAGCCATAGTGCTCAGCACTAGTGATGACTTTAGTAGTGGCACAGAGCCCCATGACAAAGTCAGTCTCATCAAAGTTGTATATATTCTCTGACAGAATCCCATGCTCAGTAATTTTAGCCTCCAAGATCTTAAACCAATCCTGTATAACTCTGATATCTTCACATTTGGCTCATTCATGTTACAAACCTAAGGGAACACCCCGCATGAACAATCGAGGAATCATTGGGTAGGAATAAACCTAAAGAGAGGGCTGACGGAGACTAAGCGACGGAACGGCAGGACGTGTTTCCGGAGAGGGTATAGATCACGTGACTGATAGATTGGTATGATCAGTATACCAGATCTACCAGATCTACCAGAGGATTTCACCATGTATATAAAGACGCTCATTACCCTTAGGATCAAGGAAGCTTATCTTCTTGATCACGATCAATTTCATTACACTTTGAGAACACTCTACCTTCCAACTATCCTATTCAGTTATAACCATAGTTTTGGTTCCCTTGGGATACCCTTCTACCGCGTCTACATCTCTTACAGATCATTAGAGTCTTAGACACCCGCCTTAGCTATTATCGGTAATAGAGATCAATATTTCTATTGTCCAATTCTAGTGGCAGCCGACCTTCCTACAGTGATCAAACACGATAAGGCACTTAGTCGACCTGACCTTAATCGACTCAGGTGAACGCTTGCTGTAACGGAGCCAAGTCCGGTTAACAATTCATGATTACAGCATCTGGAATAGCAGCTTTGAAGCTCTGTACAGCATTTAATCAGTCTTGAAATCCAGTTCTTGCTGACCCAGGGAGAAGAGGTGGTAGAGATGATAGAATTCTGTAAGATAAGAAGATAATTAGCCATATCCTCAACAAATGCTGACTGGGGGGGAAATCCTTGTTTAACATGGTCCAGCATCAATTCAACTAGCCTATTCTCTTCAGTCTGTGTCAATTTGTGTGAATTTGAGTGTAAATTCACCTGTGCAGGTCTGCCACTCAGTTGATGATCAAAAGTAGAAGATGAAACATCAAATAGGCAGGCAGCTTCACAAATTGAAAGTTTTTCATCATTTTGAATAGATTTTATTGCAAGTTCAAGCCTCCTCTCTCTCTCAATAGAATTTGAAAAATTTTTATTGCAAATTGATGGCATAATTGTACATTGAAGTGGATGGGTAGTTAAATTAGATGATATTTTGAAATGATGTCTCACTCACTGAGATGTCTCACTCAGTGTGAAATTACATTAGTTATTAAAATTATTATTAATAATAAGAACTATATAATTGACTAAGCTTTTATAGTTTAAAAATTAAAAATAAATAATTGTAATTAAATCAATCAATATATTAAAGTAAATTTTACTTTTATATAATATTCTTAAAAATTAAAATCTATTAAAAAACTAATTTTAAATTTTTTTAAATAATTGAAAACTTAATATTAATTTTAATAATTAAATTATTTATAAAATAAATCTTATAATAATTTATATAATATTTATTTTATAACTAAAATTATATTAAATTAATTATTTTATTTTTTTTATTTTAAATAAATAGAGTAATTATTTATTATTATATATTTTTTTATTTATTATATTTTTTATAATTATTAGATATAGATATTTTTATAATACTAAAATAAGTAGTATATAAAAATTTAGTTTAATAGTAAATATAATTTAAAATTAATATTATTTACAAGATTAATTTTTTAAAAACTTTATTTTATAATTTGTATAAAAACTTTAAAGTTTAAAATAATCAAAGTAATTTTAAAATTACTAAAATAATATTATTTTAATTTAATTATATTATTTAATAGCTGAATATTTAACTTTATATTTCTATATTATCATTTAATAGATTTAACTAATATATTATTCTAAATACTTTAAATATTTATTAATAATTTTTAATAATTGTAATAATAAATAAATAAAATTATAAAAATTATAAAAAATTAATTTTAGAGTTTAATAAAAATTTTTAATTAAACTATTATATTTTATAAATATAGTATAGTAAGTATTATTATTATAAAAAAATTTAATATTAGAATATTTTTAATATAAATAAGATATAAAAATAAAAATAAATTATATTTAAATATTAAATTTAATATATAGAGAATTTAATTAAAAATAAAATTTAAATTTTTATTATTTTATTTATTATATTTATTAAATATACTATTAAAAAAACTTTACTTATATTAAGGATAATAAAATTTTTAACTTTAAATCTCTTTAAATATATTTTTTATAATAGATATATTATTTAATACTTATAAAATATTTAGATTAAAAAATTTTAAATAAAATTATAATTTAAAATTTTTTTTAATTAATATATTAAATATTATCAAATACTATATAATTATTATATCTATAAGTTAATTACTACTTAAAGATAGTATCAAAAAATATATTTAAATTTTTATATATTTTTAATTACATTTAATAAAACTTACTTATTAATTTTAATATAAAACTAATTTTGAGTAATAAATATAAAAATATTATAATTATTATAAACTATTTGAAAAAAAATAGTTATTAAGTTTTATAAAAAGATAAATATAAAATAGTTACTAATATATTTTATTTAATATTTATTTTATTAAATTAGTAATATTTTAAAACTAATTATTTTTAATTATAATACTTAACTTATCATTATTATATAAAATTAAATATATTAATTATTAAAAATAAAATATATACTCTTTACTAAATAACATTTTAAAATAAATAAAATAATAATAACTATTTTTAAAAATTTTGTAACTATATATAAAATAATTAAAGTTTATTTTTAATATATACTAAAGTAATTATTAAAAATAAAGACTTTATAATAATAAATATAAATCTTTTTTTCTTTTATATAATTATAATTTAAAAATTTTAATATTTTTAAATATATAATATTATAAGAACTTTTAGAGTTTAATATAAATTATAATATTAAAATTTTTTTAAAACTAACTTCTTGCTCTTATGTTACTATTATTTTTTCATTTTATAAAAAAGTATAGTTAAAATATATTATTATTTATTTATATATATAAATATTTTAAATATTTTAAATTTTTTTTTAAGAAATTTAGTAATTAATAAATATTTAATTCTATATTTATATTTTTATTTATTATTTTCTCACTTTTTAATACTTCTAGTATCTATTTTTTTATTTTTTTTATATTAGTTATAGTGCTTTTTATACTTCTTTTTGATAGTTTATTTATTTATATCACGTATATCTATATAAAAAATTGACTGAATTATTTATAAGTTTGAAGAAATTATAAGTAATCTGAAGTTATGATGACTAATACTTAGTA